ACCAGTGAAGACCATATGGAAGGCTTTTTAGAGATATTATGAGATGTTATGATAATTTAATGTTTGTGACCAGTAAAGATCATTTATGAAAGAGTTAGAGACCTGGTAAAATTAGAGAACTACAGGGCAGATGGCAATGAATAAAACATGTTCTGAGAGAAGAGCAGATAGCCGTGTTGGAACAACTTAACGCGGAAATCTGTCCAAAAAAAATCAGTCACGAAAGACCAAATGAGATATGGAAAGAAAGTGTGGAAAAATATACAAAGATTCAGACTGTTGAGGGAATATGTCGTAATTACGGTAAAAGCCAGAAACCAAATTAGAGAGCCTTTACATATATGTATACTTCCCATTAACTTAAAATTTGGTACCAAAAAAAAAGAAAAAAAGAAAGAAAGAAAAAAAGGTGTCATTCTCTGGCTTATCTTTTTCCCAAAGATTAAGAAAGGTAACTCTAAATAATATTTTCTACAGATTGCAACATGTATGTGGAAGGATTGCGGAAAATAAAGTAAGTCTGGTGCGATTATATAATTACAGGTACATGCAGATGATCAAAATAAACAAAAATGATTCAAACACTTATAAACATGCAAAATCCTGAGAAGAATTCTCAATTTAAGACCACAGTGACTTAAAATATTTAATTATAGGCAGGATAAAGTCATTTGCTTCTCGGTTTCATGTGAAGGTTGAAGAATGTTGATGCTGACTGGATAGTTAGATGTGTGTTGAACGGTTGAAATACAAATGAGTCGAATATGTTATAAATTTAAGTTTAACGTTGAGTCAATATGTCAAATTTAAATTACATGTGCCCCATACATTTTAAAGTTAACGTTAACACGAACTTTCAAATATGTATGGCACGCCAAATTCACAAAAATGAGCAAAACATAGTTTCACATTCGATAAACTAGGTTTATCGGTTGTAATCTATAGTTTACGGACTGTAAACTACAGTTAACAACGTTAATCTATATTTTACATCTGTAAACAATTATAGCAATAGTTAAAAACGCGATAATCTATGTTTCACAACCATAAAATATACTTAACACCAAAAACAATTATTTGCGGTCGCAAAACATAGATTATCTGATAAATACAGTTTCACGATTGTAAACTATGGTTTACAATTCTTAACTATAGTTAACGATCGTAAATTATAGTTTACAAACGTGAATCTATGTTTATCAACAAAATCTATTGTTAACGTTTTATTACAGAAAGATTAACTTAGATTAGCATTCGCAAACTATAGTTAACAAAAGTTGAATATAGTTTTACAGATAAAACTATAGTTAACGAGTTGTAAACTATAGTTAACGGTTTGTAAACTATAGTTTACCATCGATAAACCTAGTTTATTAATTGTGAAACTATGTTTAGCACGCCAAATTCACAAAAATGAGCTAAACATAGTTTCAGAGTCGATAAACTAGGTTTATCGGTTGTAAACTATAGTTTACGGATAGTTAACAACGTTAATCTTTATTTTACATCTGTAAACCATAGTTAACGCGATAATCTATGTTTCACAACCGTAAACTATACTTAACACCAAAAACAATCATTTGCCATCGCAAAACATAGATTACCTGATAAATACAGTTTCATGATTTGTAAACTGTGGTTTACAACTCTCAACTATAGTTAACGATCGTAAATCATAGTTTACAAACGTGAATCTATGTTTATCCACAAAATCTATTGTTAACGTTTTATTACAGACAGATAAACTTAGATTAGCATTCTTAAACTATAGTTAACCGTTAAATATAGTTTTACAGATGAAAACTATACTTAACGAATCGTTAACTATAGTTTACGGTTTGTAAACTATAGTTTACAGTCGATAAACCTAGATTATCAATTGTGAAACTAGGTTTAGCTCATTTTTGTGAATTTGGCGTGCCATAAATATGTTTTCCGTATAAATATTCTCAGAAATATAAGTAAGAAATTTTACTATCAAAAACAGGTTGTTTTTGTCTCTTAGTCTCACCCTAAGTCTTTGAGGAGAGAGAGGGGAGAAAGAAAGAAGGGGTTGTGTCATGTTGTAAATTTTGAATTTACCGGATTCACAACATGACAGCTTTGTGAGAGAAAGGACTTTTCCCTTAATTCTATATCTTTTCAAGTTTTTTTCGGCTATTTAAACTGTTTAAAAAAACTCATTTTCATCTTGAATTTTGTCCAAAATCTTATTCTTGAAAAGAAAAAACACTTGCTGTATCCTTCAACTCGACATTTTGATACATCGATGACGTACATGTACATGTATTGTCAATATTAACAATGGTTAATATTTTAATTCCATTCCTATGTCGATACGGTATATCCCGGTGAGCTTGAAATAAAAGATACCACAGAGTCTGGCATATCTGTTTCATATTTGGATATTTTACTTGAAAAAGACGTTAATGGTAATCTAACAACCAAGATCTATGGTAAATTAAATATAACTTTTCAATCTACAACTTCCCACATATGCAGCGATAATATACTAGTACCTTACATCACCTGCATACGGAGTTTATATCTCTCAGTTGATCCGATAGGCAAGAGGATGCTCTACGTATGTACAAATTCTAAAACGAGGTAAATTATTGAAAAAACAAGTTGATGCAACAAAAATATCAGCAGCCTCGTTTAAAGTCATCATTTTGTAAGTTCTATGATCGATACAATGACCTTGTCAGCATATGCACTTAATCATTGAGTCAAATTCTGACTGACGTAATTCATACTAATTATTTTGTCCATTATTTACTTAATTGATGACGAATTTTCCGTTATTGCCCGATCATAACAAGGAGCACACGTGTGACCAGTCGACAGCGGATGCTCACTCCTCCATGGCACCCGATCCCATGGCACCTCTGAAGTTTCGGAGGTCCGTGTTTGCTCTGAACCTATTTTGTATTATCTAAGGACTTTTGAGCTTGAATAATGTTTATTATCTCCCAATATTTCATTTACTTAATCTTTTATCATGTTACAGTTCATCATATACAAACGGAAAATCTTCAAGAAAAAGGAATTTTAACCTTCTGTAATTTTCTTAAATGTTGTGGTGACAACCATGTTAAAACGCACTTTGAAAAATTACGCTCTTTAAAAAAAAGTTTTCAAAGTGTGTTTTTTAGGAACAAGTTAACACATTTTGAAAAAAAAATCTTTTCAATGTGCGTTATATTAATTAACACCATATATCAACACATTTTGAAAAAAAAAGTTCACGGCTTGGTCTATTCTTGCAAATTTCAGTCACTTCAGGATGTGAGATATAGACGTTTTAAATATTTTAGGTTCTCTTAAATGTTTTAAGATGGAAATGGATCTTTAAGAAATATTAGGGAAATGATTGTTAAATGGCACAATTTCAATTTCTTTTTTTCTTTTATCCAGTCTAATAAATTCGATAGATTTAAGGAGCTATTAGTAACTTAGAGCATGGCATTTTTTAACATGTTTAAGAAAAGGAGGCAATTTAGAGTTTTCTAAACAGTCATTCTAAACAAATTAATGTAATTTATAAGGAATTTTTTTCATCATTGTAAATCATTGTCAATTCTTAACATTTGTAACCTTGACCTTGGAGAGGACTTACATAGGTCATCCTGATGTCCATTGACCAGTCCAATTATGTAATCTTACTTACATAATAAAATATTGATTAAATTCAATTAAAACATGTGCCACGAAAATCTCTCTCGAGATCGATCTCTGTCATACTTTTACTGCATTTGAATTTTTTCAGTTTTCATCTTTTTTACGATAACTCAAATATGATAAAAAGTTACCAACGGCTTAATATTTATACATGTATACATATATTTGGGTACGGGCTATATCATAATTCTAAATTCCACTTTATAGGTCTATGGTTATAAAAAGAGTTGGACTGAGGCACCCTACACTGTCTTCTCCTCGTTCTCGATGAGGGTAAATCAATTTATAAGTTTTCTTCGAAAGAAATATAACAAAATAAAATAATTCAAAGGCTCTTACTTTTAAATGCTTTTACTAAAATGTAAGTCCCGAAATTTTGTTAAAATATACATTGTTTGTCAAAGTGCGTAAGGTGTCTCCATATAGTGAAAAATGTCGATGCACACACTAAGCTAGTCTTAATGCACTTTGAAAAATGTTTCAAAGTGCATTAATTTTAAATCAATGAACTTTGAAACATTTTTTCAAATTTTGTCTGGTACGGACTTTGAGTTGAATTTGTCCCAATTTTAACGCACTTTGAATCTTTTTTTTTCGAAAGTGCGTAATTCTTTCAAAGTGCGTTGCCACACACCCAATCTTTTTTTTTTAATGTAACATGTGTAAGGAAAAGTTAATTTATCAATCCAGATCAAATCATTATCGGATTCCCATGTGTCAAAAAAGTGAAGAAAAAAAAATTGTGGTCTTGCGGATCTTTTAACTTATCGTTCTTGGGCTATTGAGAGCTCAATTTTCATTGGTTGCCAAAGCCGCTTTTACCTGTGTATTGATTGGTAGATTATTGATCGAAGAAAAATGGCCTCCATATCGAAATTCGGCCAGGTAAACCTTAAATTTTGTATTTGTTCATCATCTTTACAGTCTATTTAAGCTATTTTTTAATCATTTGAGTAGGTAGATCAAAACCTTTAACATATTTATGAACAGTTTAGATCCATTCTACAAGTTCTGTCTTCGATATCTATGCTGAAAAATGTAAGTGCCAAGTGGTGCAATGTTTACAAATTTTCAATCTCGCCGATCTTTTGAAAATGACAGGACTACATCAAAGTTAAAATTTACTGTACTAATTTTTAGTTTAGGGAATTTAAAAGTGACAATTTGATTATTTGGCATTTATTTTTTTAATATGAATTGGGTCGACTTCCCGACTTTCTCCAAATTGCACAGTTGAAATAAAAAACAAATCAAATAAATAGACCTACGTGTTTGTCTTGAAATAGCTCTGAATAATTAAATACAACAGTTTTTTGGGGTTTATATTACGTCGGTTAATTTTATTTTCTATAACCAGCACAGTGGGTCAGTAATTAGCCGATTAATTATAGACCTGTCAAAGTGAACAGTTATTTTCACGCTCCGATTCCCACACTGGAACCGTTAACCGATAGATTTTTTGTTTGATCTTCGTGACGTCAGATTTAAATGCCTTCATGACAGAACATGATCAGAAATCCATTTAAAAACATGTTGAATTTTTTTTACACTGCACATATCCTATTGTGACACTCTGACAGATTGAACGGAGCCTTGACATGTACTGTTTTGTGACAGTTGAATAATAATTAATTTGATTTGGAGTTAGTGTTCTCATCACCATTTATGTGAATCAGGTATGTCTGTCAGTTTTTGTTTGCTTGCTTGATTTGAAATAAAATCCATATAAATGTAAGGATGTGAGACTGAATATAAAAGGGTTTGCATGGCAGAATGTTAATAAACGTGTCTTTATCATGTTTATGTAGAGACCATGCATATATTGTAGACCATAAATTGTTTACATACTCAAGACTAAAAAAAATGTCAAAAATTGCTGGATTTAACATTTGTTTAAGTAAAAAGGATCAAAACAAGTCCACAGTTTTACTCTGTAGTTATTCATGTTATAAGCATGATTAGATAATAAATTTTGATAATTTTGTCACTTTGAAATTTTTATTTCATTTCTGAAATTCCCATGGAGGGATGCCCTATTGTCAGGGGTTAGAGATAACCCCAGAACCCGTGTCAAGTCTTCAAGAGCTTTACCTGTTACTTTTATCAGGGAGTCCTACCAATATTGGATGATCTTATTCCCATTTATCTGAGATTTTTTTGTAATATTGACAGCAACATCCGCTCCTAGAGTAGCATCTTCTTTAATAAGATAAAGATATTAAATCTCGTAAAATGTTGACACTCAAGAATTCTGACCTGACTAACACTATCAGTGGGGAATGTCAGGTTTTGGGTAGAATCATGAGTTGTTTTTGTAAAGTTTAATTTCACACTTGCTAAACTTTCTATCAGATGTGTTGGAGTCACAATGGATATAGGAGATATTACACCTGCATTTTCTTTTAAATGTGCATAAACATGATAAAAATGCATGGTGAATGCAAAAATGAACTGAAAGGAAAAAATTGAAATGCATGCCTCTTTTGATATCGATATCTTCCCTTATAACCACTCGAATTAAAGTCTTTCAGTAAATCAAACTGAAATTAAATATTTTTTTTAAAATACATGAATAATTTTTTAATGTAAACATGGTAAAGGAATATCAATCTTATTTTTTTGTGTTAGCATCACAATGTAATATTGAGGAAAACATTTTTTTTTTGGAAGGGGGGGGGGGGAGTATCACATTTTATACATCTCACAGAGGATAGTATTTAAATTCTCTCATCCTTTTTTCCTTAAAAAATCTCACTTTGATCAAAACCATCGTCACAACATGCACAAACTATGCAAAAAGCAGCAATGCATGTATAGACATTTTAGAAAGCCGCAAAAGTGTAATTTCCATAAAACCATAATAGTCTGTTATATTTTTCCTTTCTGCATGCTCATCAATGAAGCAGTGTTCTACATGTATACCCAGTAAAACAGAAGGTCCATTCACTTCCCTAATAATAAACGAAAAGCAGAAAGACTAGTAACAAAATATTGTTTAATATGCAGCATTTAAAAGTTTAAACAGGGTCACAGAGTACTGAGGTGTTAAGGGTAGATTACCTGAATACATGACTATTATTTATCATCTTAATGTCCATTTCAGATGTAGCTAGACAAAGACGTACCCACCATGTAAAGGAGAGGTGTGTCGTGGGTCCTTATCTATCTAATCCGTCCATCAGAACATGCCCACCCAGGAAAGGAAAAGATCTCCTCCCGCAAATGAGTGAGTACTTTTTTAAAGTATATATTCCTTTGGAATAATGTAAGACTAAGATCAAAAGCGAGCTCTTCTAAGTTTTATGTCCCCCAGGCTACTTTGAGTTTCCTCATGTCAACTTCTTAAAATTTTAAAGTACAGTAAAAACAGGCTTATAACATAAAGCACCCAGGATGGGTGATTTTGCTTCATTATAAGCATAATTCTTTGAAGCCGTTTAATTTACCCCATATTTCAATGTCACGGAGAATGAAAATCACTTCAATTTAAGCGTCAATGCATTATAAGAGTGTTTGCTGTAAGTATGTTTTACTGTACTTGGGGTTATAGTGTCTTCGTAAATTTCATATATTTTGTGATTTCTATTTCTTTCTCCTTGCTCTTGAATTTCATTTACTACAGTAAAAAAAGTTACAGTAAAAATTAATAATTAATGAAAAGAAGAAAAAAAAAGTAAAATGGGAATGAAATAAAGGTCAGAATTCACAGTAAAACTGATTGCAAAGGTGAAAAATATATGGTAAAGTTTTTACTTTTTAAACAAGATATAATTATTCAAGAGTTAATTTTGATAAAGAATTGAGTTGAAAGCTTTTATATAAACAATTATATGGGGAACTGTATCTACAAACTAGAAGTTCTATATTCTTTACTATTTTTGAAATATATATATGGAATAACATGTTAGTACCTCCTAATCTCAAAATAGTGTGACACTGTTCTAAATATTTATATTGCAGTGACACCTCATTTACTTTCTTCAGTAGTGTTCCATTTATATATTTTCCCCCTAAAATAGACTTTTCTTTCTTTATCACACTGGTATAAGTTCCAGTCAATGAGGACAGTCAAAACAGATTTTGTCACGAACATTTCTCTTTTTTGATCACTTTGAAAGGAAAAACTATTGAGTAGCAAAGAAATATCAGATTATTTGAAGTATACATTGCACCCTGCAAGAACAGAGTGCAAACAGTTGTGCCTAATTATCAATTCTTTTAAATATTGTGTTACTTAAGTTATACCGTTAGCTCAAGAGGGTCATGAACTGAAATTCAATAGGGCAAAACAGCTGATTAGAATCGTATGTTTCAGTGTATTTATATAGAGCCCAATTCAAATATTGTCAAATGTCGAAATAGGATTAAAATATTTCAGATTAAACTGAATGCTAGCATTGAGAAGTATAGAATTCTTTAGCATGTTTTGAAAATAGTACATGTATAAGCATTTATGTAATCTAATGAAATGAATAGATTGTTGATTGCTACATTAATTAGTTTTTTTTTTTTAAGATTAAATATAACCGTACACAAGCTCTATTACATAATTTTTTGTGAAGGATTGCCGAAGTCAAAGCACAAAAGTAAAATTCAAATTTAAATTTTGAATCATGTACAGTAAAACATGGTTATAGCAAACACACTTATCATGCTAACATATAATGAATTGGTGCTTACTACAAGTGATTTTCATTCCCTGTGATTTATTTATAAGTTGTAAACGTGATGAATATAATGAATTACGTTATAACAAGGCATATAATTGTCTGTCCTTAAATATATGTTAATAGCTTCAAATAAAATCCTATCTTTTCTTATCATATTAACACTTAATTAATCAATGTGTAGAATTATTGTTGATATATATAATCTTATGTGTTTCATATCAAACATGTCGGAATAAAAGCACCTGCTAATAAAGTTATGAACTGGGCAACTGTAATTACAAACCATTCTTATTATTACAATCCAGAAAAGCCTAACGGCTAATTTTGATAATCCTCTTACGGCGCGTACAAACCCAGGTATATTTGTACACATTCGGAGCACCTGCTAATGTAATGTGGCAAGGTAGGCCTGCCACAATGAATTATAAATGCAGGGTTCCAATATATAGGAGATTGGATTAGCATCCAGGCATGAGAGTGATATACAAAAGTCATTAAGGTTTTTACCTATAAATATGTCCTGACAGATTTTTATCAATAATCAATTAGGGGAAATATCACTAATTGACAAACGGCTAATGCAGTTAGGGGTATATATTGTATGCTGAGTGTATAGGCCATCTATAGGCTTTTTCTCTTCACTGAATGAGAAGTCCATTTGTCTGTAATTGATTTACTGTGGAGCAGCTGAGCTGTTGAAAATTGGAAGTAAGAATCTCTGTTTCATTAGGGCCACATTAGGTAGTGTGAATGATTAATTTAAAAAGGTTCAACTGGATTAAGTTTGTGTAAACTAAGGTCATTGCCATTTTAGGTTTATGATTACAATAAAAAAATAAAAATGGGGAAAGAAAGGAAAGCATGAGTGTTTTCATAGACAACTTGGTTGGAAAGGAACTTCCTTGAATTTTACTTTAAATATAATGATGGGGATGGGGGTTATTTTTATTACTAGGTATAAATCTATTAATATCCAATGCATATATATAATTCTGAAGAAATACATATCAGAATTAGATTTTAATTACTTTTCAGTTCTAGACAAGCTAGGAACTTGCATTCAGTGATATATAAAGATACCTTTGTTTGGTATTTATAACTTTTTGTAAGAGTAGAAAGAAGAGCTGTAACCGAAATCTTTAAAAATGGAAACTCTTTGGGTGAGATTATATAGAGGCTTTAAATATATTGATAAAATTGTGTTTGCACAATGAGGCATAATTGGGTAAATAAAAGGTTTATACCCACCCACAACTTGGGGGTGGCATATAAGTACATTATGTGAATGGCTAATTGTCGGGATTTTTGGGGATCCGGGTAAATTTCTCACCGGGGGGCTCTGATTATAGAGTGATTGATTGACTCTTTTAAATGGGAGATGTTTAATTTTTATGAACCATTTGCTTTCTTGCATCAAAGAAAAAAATATAACTTGTTTATATCAATAATCTTTTACAATATCAATGTACGTCACAGTGCATAATTTGGAAAGAGAATAAAAAGATTTTAATTGAAGCTGCACACCCCCCCACCACCATCCACCCCCCACTCCCCCCACCCCCCTTCTTAGGATTTTTAGTCCTTAAACTATGAAGATTTTTTTTTTCCTAAAGGAAGCATTAAAAAGACCAAAAAAATTCTATATATACCTCAGTATTAGTTTTGAATACAGTCCTAACCTGAACAGAAGATGTAAACAGGTAAAATGTAAAGTACCATTCCAGATACCTTTTTAAAACAGACCCCCCCCCCCTTCCCCCCTTTTTTTTTTATCATTATCACAAATACAAATCATACACAAACAACTGTGAATGCGTTGAGGTTTAATTTTTATTTTAGGTACTTAATTCTACTCAATGTTTGACCATTATAGTAAAATTATTATTTAGATACTTAATTTGAAACCATGATTGATCAGAGATTACTTAATAAATATTTTTTTTTTCAGTGACTGCAAAAGACTGAGACAACTTCTTCAACTCCTCAATGCTCCATTTAACAAACAACAGGTTTGTATTCTTAATTATCAATGTTCTCCCTCTAGTATCGTTACTTATAACATGCTTATACTCAGTATTATATACTCAAGTTAACAAACAGCATGCTTGTATAAAATTCTTCCTTATAATGTTCTACCAAGTATGTTACTTTTAACATGCTTATACTCAGTATTATATCCTCAGTGCTTCACTTATCAAAAAACTGCTTTGTATTCTGAATTAAATTCTTAATGCCCCATTTGGTTTTCCAACCAGTAACCTCTCAGGGCTTGATCCACTTAATGAAAAAGACCCTGTCAATGACGAGTATTGCGCACAGTGACTGAATGTATTAAGTGCACAAAGATAGAAGTAACAGAGCAAGCATATAATCTGGCTTTGTAGTGAGTTACATTGACAGTAAAATAGCCCCTCATCCAAGCCTACCCTGGCTCTGTAAATTGACTCTTGAAATTCTCATACACTCAGAGGCTGAAGAGTACCGGTATTTGTGTCCTTGTAGCTAGTTAGAGGAAAGTAATTTTTTTTTCTGTTTTTAACCAAAATAAGATTGGGAAAATTATACCAATTTTGAGAGGAATTGAATTTTTTTGTTTAAAGATACATACATGTGCAAATATTAGCCTTGGATTCTCATTTGAACACAATGTGCATTATTGAATACAAGGGAAATCATTTATGACATTAAAGTTCAGTACGTTATAATGTACCCCTATATATTTCTGTCTAGTCATCGTTATACCCACATCATAAATCAAGGTGGGAAGTATTTACAGTGTATATGTCTAAAACCCTGAAGGATTTTATGACTGACAGTGTTAAAGCACTGTCTGTATGTAAACTTTGGCAGATTAAACCCTTTAATTGAAGTGTCGAGGTGAACATAGGTCTGTTTTCTCACTGTCTAAACTTTTTTCAATGGTTTTTGTATACCTGGGAATTTCCTAAATGGGTTGACGATTTAAGTATTGCACAACTTTTTGAAGTTTTTCTCTTTCAAGATTTAACTTGTCATAATGACATTGCTTTGAATGAGTTTTCTGGCCTAGAATTAAAAAAAAATATTTAAGTTGATTGATTAACCAATTTAATTTTGAGTTCAGAAAGTGTAAAATAATAATATGACACCACAAAGACTTTACTAGATACAATATAAAATTAAAACTATCTCTCATTTTTTGATTATTGAAAAAATATAAGACATTAGCATTGGGGAAAATAATTCCATGTATGCTTACAGTTTATCAAAGTTACTTATTTCAATTTTTATTCATGCAATTAAACCCTATAGACTACTCGTTTATATAATTAAAATTTTTGGTGAAATTTTTACAGTAATTTTATGTCCAAAATATTTCTTGTATTAATTGGTTGCTAGTATATTCCCTGTGAAAATTTTTATTAAGAGTAAATAAAAATAATTATTGTTTATAATTTTCAGTATTTCATGTTTACCGGTAATTAAATATTCTTTTTGTGCCATTTATTTAGCTTCCATCCATCTCCTCAAAGAAAACCGTAAACGTCAGCCATCAACAATGGCCGAGTCCCCAGGGTAGGAGTATACAACACCAGCAGCAATCCCAGGAGAGTCTGGTCCTAGAAAAGTTCAAGTAAGTTATATACTGTAGTCACTAAACTATCATTGCAAAAATAAATTGAAATAATATTCATCACTTGCAATGTAAAGGTATGAGCTGTTTTATACCTTACAAGGGTCCTTTCAGTTTTTGTAGAACCTTTTTACAGTTTCTACACATCCTTAAATAGTTGTGTATTTACTTAAATTAAATATAGAATGAACATGTCATTTAGTTGAATTACAGTATTTCTTTTTAATTTTGATAAAAATGACTTTAAATTTATAATCAGTGACATTTCTATTTTTAGCTTAAAGTACCAGTCCCAGAGACAGTTTGTGAATCACCCCCTTCATGAAAAATTCTCAGAGGTTTTCAAGGCTCTAATCAAACAAAGATTATGTTGTGTGTAAGTACTCATGTACCCTTACTTAAAAGAAAATTGTACTCAGGCCTAAATGCTAAGTATTCAGATTAAGTGTGTTGGCAAATATTGAGATCAGTTATATGTGCATACATGCACATCATAAAGTGCATTGTATAATTTTATATGTATGTGGAATATCTAAATATCAATAGATTTGAGGTACTTTTATATCCAGATCACCTTTATAATAGATTTGTGGTACCTTTATATCAAGATTACGTTTATAATAGATTTGTGGTACCTTTATACCTGGAATTCATTTATAATAGATTTGTGGAACCTTTATAAATTGTATTACCTTTATAAAAGATTTTTGATACCTTAAACCTGGATTTCCATTACCCTTTAGTTATAATGCTTTACACCTGGATAACCTTTATAATAGATTAGTTGTATCTTTATACCTTATTACCTTTAGTCTCGTTTTCAATCTCAGGGACTGGATTACCTCCGCTCCGTCAGAGAATGTCCTCCGATTGGTGACGTGCCTCAGGATCCTGATGAGAGATCCAGAGTACCAGAAGCTCTTCTACTCTCTACGAGGACTTCAAGTCTTCACAGAGGTATAGAAATATAAATCCTCACCATTAGTTTGTTTATTACAAGAGATTGAAAGCAAAATTGAACTTAATGAAATTCTGTCTTTTCTTCCAATTTTCTGAGACACCTTTATGATTTTAATATTAGCACAACAGTTACACATTTTACTTATAATTTTTTTTTTTATAATTTCTGTGTTTCAGCTGTTCACCAAGGCAACCAAGAGCTATCTTTTATATGGAGACTCTCCGTATTTAGTGGATATACTGAAGGAAATGTCAAGTAAGTTTGGCCAATTGTAATTCTCAATTAAAAAATACAGATGAACTTCGGTATCTCAAACACTGATATCGCAAACACCATGGATATATGTCAAACTGGAGTCCCAACCACATATTCTTTAAATATTAAACCCCCCTTATCTTGAATTATTGACTACCTTGAAGTTTTTTCTTGGTCCTGTCAAGTTTGAATTAACAGGGTTTGACTGAATTTATACAGTGCCCCCTTATTTCATTATTTGCCTGACTTCTCATGTGTTTTTTATCATTGCTTGTAGACATTTTCCAGAAGTTTGCAGCTGTAAATGAGACACAGAGAGAATGGTTGATCGAGTGTAAAGTTCATGAGGGACTACTTCTTCTACTCCGTGGCCATGGTGATGACCTTATTGCACTCCACTGTGCACTACACGCTCTTCTTGCCTTAGCTCAATGGTATTTTTTCATAATTTAACAATTTTAATCACTGTGTAAAAATGTTTTATAGGAGCATTGTAGTTCATGAAATAACGATAAACTTTAGGATGATAAAGATTGCATTAAGAGTTTTTAGGAATTACAGTAAAACTCGTCTAGTACGAACACAGATATTGCGAATTTATGGATAGAGCAAAGTTATCTTGGATTCCCAGCAATATAAATATAACAAATTCCTTATAGAAGGAATTATGGATATGGCGAAGTTATTTCATAGGTCCCTCTTATTTCATTATAGCCAAGTTTTACTGTATTTGACATTGTGTTTTAACAGCCCAGAAGCCAGGAAGCTGATAGCAGAGAGAAACTGTGCTGAAGACTTGCTGGGAATCATAAAGGACTATGACAGTTTGTCCAAAAAGTAGGTCACAAACTTTTCTTTAAAAGCACTAAGAATTTTTGATATCATGAAAATACATCATTAAAGATTTTGACAGTAAATGAACTGGAGTATTCTCTTTTTTTATAAAATACATGAAGACAATGTGTTTGTCCTTACAGACTAGCTGCCAAGCTTCTCCAAAGACTGTGTAATGAACGTTCGTGTCAGGAATCAGTGCAGGAGCACCAAGGCATCCCTATTTTACTGAGTCAGTTACATTTTGACAATGTGAACCTTCTTCTCCCTGTCATACAGTGTTTAATCCACATGTGTACCTACCCTGAGGCAAATAAAGAGATCCGACAGATGGGAGGGATACCCACAATCCTATCTCTACTCAGGTCAGTTGTATACTGAAAAATATTTATAGGGTGGATAGGGGTAGGAAAATATCCATACTGGGGATAAGGCTAGAAAGAATATCCATACAATGGATTCTGTTAGAAATAATAAAAAAGATTGTGGATAAGATTAAAAATTTCATTCATTTAGTGGGGATTAAACTGAAGATATATATCTGTAACATATCCAGATTGTGATTTTGTGATAGATTTCAATAGGAGATTGCTTATTGCAAAGTTGGCTTCAAATTAAAAGCATGTTAAGATGAATTGATTACTTGTAAAGGTTGAATTTTGGCAACTGTTGAGTTGTTAAAAGAATATGGGAAATGACAGACTCTTCAATTCTTTGAAAATTATCTAAGATTTTGCTTTGTTTATAGGAATGACAGAAACTTCATGACAGAGAGAAGTGAGAATGGTTGTAGTGCAGCCAGCGCAGGGCCTCACGGTAGATCACCCATAGATGATGTAAGCTACCTCCATTATATCTTATACCAATTCAAAATTAAAAAAATATATATATTTACTTTAATATGAGGCAGAAAAAAAAATCCCATTATATACAAACCACTTTGAATTAAAATGAAAATTACTCAATTTGTACTTTAACCTTGCTGTGTAGGAAAAAAAAAATCATTTTGTCTTTTTTCTGAAATCTGACAGATTGTATTCGATAATGTAATGGCAGCCAATGAGAAAACGTCAGGCAGACAGGTGAACTTAACCTTGACCTTTTGCCTGCTTTGCAGTGATCAAAATCATGCATGACACTATGCCAATGAACATTAAGCACTTTGCTTTCCATTCATTCATTACATCAGAATGAAATTCATTTCATGGTGAAGTCTTCATAGCAGCCCTTGTTCTTGTTTTCTAACACTTTCATGAGTCTCCATAGCAACATGCCATTTGTAACCCCTCTTGAGTGTTGCATGGTTTTGAGTCAGTACACTAGCTCTACCTTGGAAAAAGGGGTGGTACCATTTATAACCAAGCCATCTCATTGATTCTGCAAACAGTTTGCATTTTTCTGCAGATTATGTTTTTCACTTGTCATTTAGACTATCATCATGATAATGATCGATAAAAGGTGTTGCATTATAAATTTTCTCCAACATGTTGGAATTCGATCGATCATGTTGAAAAAAAGTAATATATTTCAGTTTTTTTCTTTTAAACAAAATTGTAGGGATGTAGGTATTAGTTGTAATAATTCTGTCACTCTCAAGCCTAGTATACCAATTAGATAAAAATTTTGATTTTTATTGCCGATAAAAATATCTGACATCTTTTCCCCATTTTTATAGGCTGAGGAACTTATGGATCAAAAATATCAAGTGAAATGTGGTAAGTATAAATATTCTCATGTTTAATATTGCATTTATTTTTAAAACCAAGTTAAATGAGATATTGCAAGCATTGTTTTACTGTCGTATCAATTGATTTAAATTGTAACTTTGTTGGAGTGTACATCTTGAGAAATTTTCTTCTTTACAGCGTGTTGTACAGCTTTAACAGAGCTGGTAATGAACGATGCTAACGCCCAACAGATTGTTCAGTCTAATGGAATATATACGCTGGGATGTTTAATTTTACCTCCGTGTGAAAAGTGCTCACCAGAAGAAACAAAACTGTGTAAAAGTCTGCAGAAGTACAGCTTCCGTGCTCTCCGGTTTTTGTTCAGTATGGAGAGAAATCGACGGCTGTTCAAGCGATTGTTTCCTGTGGATTTATTTGAAATGTTTATAAACATTGGTCACTACAAACAGGACTTGAATGAATACAAGCCGCTAGTGGAAAAAATTAACGGTTTGACTGTAAGTGTCTTCATTGTAGATTTTTAACTCCAGGAAAGATTTTGCTTTTTAGCTTGCTTACATAGAATTACTTTTCAAGCATAAGATCCTTGAACAACATTGGGCTTAGCTTGTTCACTCTTGTTGCGAATTTAAAAAAAAAAAGGAAGAAAAATGGGTTTTTTTACATGTGAAAATATTTTACATTGATGCTTTATTAGATAAAACTGATTATTTTGACAGGCTGAGGTGGTTGAAGAAATTCTGGTCAACATCCAGGAAACAAACTTAAATCGATCTCCAACTCGCCATATTGGAGACTACTCTGTGTTCGAATTGTTAGGGAAAGGTGCTTTTGGATCTGTGTATAAAGTGTGCAAGGGGACTGCTGGACAGACCTTCCTAGCCATGAAAGAGGTCAGTAGTTAAATAAGGTTAAGGTCACCTAAGTGGGTCAAGGAAATCTTAAAATGTCTTGAGTAGACCTCAAATAAAATGATCTCACTTCATATGGTGAATAATGACCTATTTTATTCATTTAGATTAAGTTAGTCAACATCTAGAGTTTAATAAATAAAACACCAAATTGTCCAAAATATTAGAGAAAATCTTCTAAAAGTGGATGTTTCCAAATCTTCAGTCTGATATGAACAAATAAAGTATAGAATAATGTTGACATATAAGATTGACAAAACTGTTGAATTTGTAATGTTGTATTTCTAGATAAATTATGAGTCGCCCGCCTTTGGTCGGAATTCACAGGAACGCAATCAAAGTGTAGGGGAGATAATCAATGAAATTGCCATAATACGGAAGCAAATGAAACACCCCAATATTGTCCGTTACTACAAAACATTTGTACAAGGTAAAAAATTTTAAGTTAAATTATCATTATAGCTCTAGTTGACAAAATCAACCAAATCATGTAATCATGGGTGGAGTAAATCTTTAAAGTATTAGACCAAACATAATAAACAGTTGTTTTATTAAATAAATGGTTTAATTGGGAAAATTCCACACATTGTTAGTTGGCATATATATTATATTATTTTTTCTCCCTCTTTTAGAAGAAAAGCTCTATATTGTGATGGAGTTGATTGAGGGGGCCCCATTAGGGGAACACTTTAATTCACTGAAGGAAAAGAACATGAAGTTCCCAGAAGATAGGATATGGAATATTTTCATGCAGGTGAGTTTTATGAATACAATATCACACAGGTATAAGGGAGTTGGTTTTATATTTCCTACTACAATAAGTTAGCTGATAATTCCATGCTTGACTCAACGTAAAAGTTGGTAATGCATGTACATGTGATTTTAAATTTGGATAATTCCTATAGTTCTTTCAAGTATATAAAAGACAAAGTGATATTTCTGTGTTATACACATCAGTGAATTGTTTTGATAGTTGGTGCTGGCACTGAGATATCTGCATAAGGAGAAGGGGATTCTTCACCGAGACCTGACCCCTAACAACATCATGTTAGGAGAGGATGACAAAGTCACTATCAGTAAGTCAGAGTTATCTCCTGCTGATCTTGTCTGACCCCTAACAACATCATGTTAGGAGAGGATGACAAAGTCACAATCAGTAAGTCAGAGTTATCTCCTGCTGATCTTGTCTGACCCCTAACAACATCATGTTAGGAGAGGATGACAAAGTCACTATCAGTAAGTCAGAGTTATCTCCTCCTGATCTTGTCTGACCCCTAACAACATCATGTTAGGAGAGGATGACAAAGTCACAATCAGTAAGTCAGAGATATCTCCTGCTGATCTTGTCTGACCCCTAACAACATCATGTTAGGAGAGGATGACAAAGTCACAATCAGTAAGTCAGAGTTATCTCCCCCTGATCTTGTCTGACCCCCTAACAACATCATGTTAGGAGAGGATGACAAAGTCACTATCAGTAAGTCAGAGTTATCTCCTCCTGATCTAGACTGACCCCTAACAACATCATGTTAGGAGAGGACGACAAAGTCACTATCAGTAAGTCAGAGTTATCTCCCCCTGATCTAGACTGACCCCTAACAACATCATGTTAGGAGAGGACGACAAAGTCACTATCAGTAAGTCAGAGTAATCTCCCCCTGACAGATCATTAAGTCAGAGTTATCTCCTCTTGATCTTGTCTGACCCCCTAACAACATCATGTTAGGAGAGGACAACAAAGTCACTATCAGTAAGTCAGAGTTATCTCCTCCTGACAGATCAGTAAGTCAGAGTTATCTCCCCCTGATCTTGTCTGACCCCCTAACAACATCATGTTAGGAGAGGATGACAAAGTCACTATCAGTAAGTCAGAGTTATCTCCTCCTGATCTTGTCTGACCCCTAACAACATCATGTTAGGAGAGGATGACAAAGTCACTATCAGTAAGTCAGAGTTATCTCCCCCTGATCTAGACTGACCTGACCCCTAGCAACATCATGTTAGGAGAGGACGACAAAGTCACTATCAGTAAGTCAGAGTTATCTCCCCCTGATCTAGACTGACCTGACCCCTAACAACATCATGTTAGGAGAGGACGACAAAGTCACTATCAGTAAGTCAGAGTTATCTCCCCCTGATCTAGACTGACCCCTAACAACATCATGTTAGGAGAGGACGACAAAGTCACTATCAGTAAGTCAGAGTTATCTCCTGCTGATCTTGTCTGACCCCTAACAACATCATGTTAGGAGAGGATGACAAAGTCACTATCAGTAAGTCAGAGTTATCTCCTCCTGATCTTGTCTGACCCCTAACAACGTCATGTTAGGAGAGGACGACAAAGTCACTATCAGTAAGTCAGAGTTATCTCCCCCTGATCTTGTCTGACCCCTAACTACATCATGTTAGGAGAGGACGACAAAGTCACTATCAGTAAGTCAGAGTTATCTCCCCCTGATCTTGTCTGACCCCTAACAACATCATGTTAGGAGAGGACGACAAAGTCACTATCAGTAAGTCAGAGTTATCTCCTCCTGACAGATCATTAAGTCAGAGTTATCTCCTCTTGATCTTGTCCGACCCCTAACAACATCATGTTAGGAGAGTACAACAAAGTCACTATCAGTAAGTCAGAGTAATCTCCCCCTGACAGATCATTAAGTCAGAGTTATCTCCTCCTGATCTTGTCTGACCCCCTAACAACATCATGTTAGGAGAGGACGACAAAGTCACTATCAGTAAGTCAGAGTTATCTCCCCCTGATCTTGTCTGACCCCCTAACAACATCATGTTAGGAGAGGACGACAAAGTCACTATCAGTAAGTCAGAGTTATCTCCTCCTGATCTAGACTGACCCCTAACAACATCATGTTAGGAGAGGACGACAAAGTCACTATCAGTAAGTCAGAGTTATCTCCTCCTGATCTTGTCTGACCCCTAACAACATCATGTTAGGAGAGGACGACAAAGTCACTATCAGTAAGTCAGAGTTATCTCCTCCTGATCTTGTCTGACCCCTAACAACATCATGTTAGGAGAGGACGACAAAGTCACAATCAGTAAGTCAGAGTTATCACCCCCTGATCTTGTCTGACCCCTAACAACATCATGTTAGGAGAGGACGACAAAGTCACTATCAGTAAGTCAGAGTTATCTCCTCCTGACAGATCAGTAAGTCAGAGTTATCTCCTCCTGACAGATCAGTAAGTCAGAGTTATCTCCTCCTGACAGATCAGTAAGTCAGAGTTATCTCCTCCTGACAGATCAGTAAGTCAGAGTTATGTCCTCCTGACAGATCAGTAAGTCAGAGTTATCTCCTCCTGATCTTGTCTGACCCCTAACAACATCATGTTAGGAGAGGACGACAAAGTCACAATCAGTAAGTCAGAGTTATCTCTTCCTGATCTTGTCTGACCCCTAACAACATCATGTTAGGAGAGGACGACAAAGTCACTATCAGTAAGTCAGAGTTATCTCTTCCTGATCTTGTCTGACCCCTAACAACATCATGTTAGGAGAGGACGACAAAGTCACTATCAGTAAGTCAGAGTTATCTCCTCCTGATCTTGACTGACCTGACCCCTAACAACATCATGTTAGGAGAGGACGACAAAGTCACTATCAGTAAGTCAGAGTTATCTCCTCCTGATCTAGACTGACCCCCCTAACAACATCATGTTAGGAGAGGACGACAAAGTCACTATCAGTAAGTCAGAGTTATCTCCCCCTGATCTTGTCTGACCCCTAACAACATCATGTTAAGAGAGGATGACAAAGTCACTATCAGTAAGTCAGAGTTATCTCCTCCTGATCTTGTCTGACCCCTAACAACATCATGTTAAGAGAGGATGACAAAGTCACTATCAGTAAGTCAGAGTTATCTCCTCCTGATCTTGTCTGACCCCTAACAACATCATGTTAGGAGAGGACGACAAAGTCACTATCAGTAAGTCAGAGTTATCTCCTCCTGATCTTGTCTGACCCCTAACAACATCATGTTAGGAGAGGACGACAAAGTCACTATCAGTAAGTCAGAGTTATCTCCTCCTGATCTAGACTGACCTGACCCCTAACAACATCATGTTAGGAGAGGACGACAAAGTCACTATCAGTAAGTCAGAGTTATCTCCTCCTGATCTAGACTGACCTGACCCCTAACAACATCATGTTAGGAGAGGATGACAAAGTCACTATCAGTAAGTCAGAGTTATCTCTTCCTGATCTTGTCTGACCCCTAACAACATCATGTTAGGAGAGGATGACAAAGTCACTATCAGTAAGTCAGAGTTATCTCCCCCTGATCTTGTCTGACCCCTAACAACATCATGTTAGGAGAGGACGACAAAGTCACTATCAGTAAGTCAGAGTTATCTCCTCCTGATCTTGTCTGACCCCTAACAACATCATGTTAAGAGAGGATGACAAAGTCACTATCAGTAAGTCAGAGTTATCTCCTCCTGATCTAGACTGACCTGACCCCTAACAACATCATGTTAGGAGAGGACACAAAGTCACTATCAGTAAGTCAGAGTTATCTCCTCCTGATCTAGACTGACCCCTAACAACACCATGTTAGGAGAGGACGACAAAGTCACAATCAGTAAGTCAGAGTTATCTCCTCCTGATCTTGTCTGACCCCTAACAACATCATGTTAGGAGAGGACGACAAAGTCACTATCAGTAAGTCAGAGTTATCTCCTGCTGATCTTGTCTGACCCCTAGATCAGTAAGTCAGAGTTATCTCCTCCCGATCTTGACTGACCCCTAACAACATCATGTTAGGAGAGGACGACAAAGTCACTATCAGTAAGTCAGAGTTATCTCCTCCTGATCTTGTCTGACCCTAACAACATCATGTTAAGAGAGGATGACAAAGTCACTATCAGTAAGTCAGAGTTATCTCCTGCTGATCTTGTCTGACCCCTAACAACATCATGTTAAGAGAGGATGACAAAGTCACTATCAGTAAGTCAGAGTTATCTCCTCCTGATCTTGTCTGACCCTAACAACATCATGTTAGGAGAGGACGACAAAGTCACTATCAGTAAGTCAGAGTTATCTCCTCCTGATCTAGACTGACCCCTAACAACACCATGTTAGGAGAGGACGACAAAGTCACAATCAGTAAGTCAGAGTTATCTCCCCCTGATCTTGTCTGACCCCTAACAACAACATGTTAGGAGAGGACGACAAAGTCACTATCAGTAAGTCAGAGTTATCTCCTCCTGATCTTGTCTGACCCCTAACAACATCATGTTAGGAGAGGACGACAAAGTCACTATCAGTAAGTCAGAGTTATCTCCCCCTGATCTTGTCTGACCCCTAACAACATCATGTTAGGAGAGGACGACAAAGTCACTATCAGTAAGTCAGAGTTATCTCCTCCTGATCTAGACTGACCTGACCCCTAACAACATCATGTTAGGAGAGGATGACAAAGTCACTATCAGTAAGTCAGAGTTATCTCCTCCTGATCTTGTCTGACCCCTAACAACATCATGTTAGGAGAGGACGACAAAGTCACTATCAGTAAGTCAGAGTTATCACCCCCTGATCTTGTCTGACCCCTAACAACATCATGTTAAGAGAGGATGACAAAGTCACTATCAGTAAGTCAGAGTTATCTCCTCCTGATCTTGACTGACCCATAACAACATCATGTTAGGAGAGGACGACAAAGTCACTATCAGTAAGTCAGAGTTATCACCCCCTGATCTTGTCTGACCCCTAACAACATCATGTTAGGAGAGGATGACAAAGTCACTATCAGTAAGTCAGAGTTATCTCCTCCTGATCTTGTCTGACCCCTAACAACATCATGTTAGGAGAGGACGACAAAGTCACTATCAGTAAGTCAGAGTTATCTCTTCCTGATCTTGTCTGACCCCTAACAACATCATGTTAGGAGAGGACGACAAAGTCACTATCAGTAAGTCAGAGTTATCACCCCCTGATCTTGTCTGACCCCTAACAACATCATGTTAAGAGAGGATGACAAAGTCACTATCAGTAAGTCAGAGTTATCACCCCCTGATCTTGTCTGACCCCTAACAACATCATGTTAAGAGAGGACGACAAAGTCACTATCAGTAAGTCAGAGTTATCTCTTCCTGATCTTGTCTGACCCCTAACAACATCATGTTAAGAGAGGACGACAAAGTCACTATCAGTAAGTCAGAGTTATCTCCCCTGATCTTGTCTGACCCCTAACAACATCATGTTAGGAGAGGACGACAAAGTCACTATCAGTAAGTCAGAGTTATCTCCTCCTGATCTGACTGTCACTATCAGTAAGTCAGAGTTATCTGACCCCTAACAACATCATGTTAGGAGAGGACGACAAAGTCACTATCAGTAAGTCAGAGTTATCTCCTCCTGATCTAGACTGACCTGACCCCTAACAACATCATGTTAAGAGAGGATGACAAAGTCACTATCAGTAAGTCAGAGTTATCTCCCCCTGATCTAGACTGACCTGACCCCTAGCAACATCATGTTAGGAGAGGACGACAAAGTCACTATCAGTAAGTCAGAGTTATCTCCTCCTGATCTAGACTGACCTGACCCCTAACAACATCATGTTAGGAGAGGACGACAAAGTCACTATCAGTAAGTCAGAGTTATCTCCCCCTGATCTTGTCTGACCCCTAACAACATCATGTTAAGAGAGGATGACAAAGTCACTATCAGTAAGTCAGAGTTATCTCCTCCTGATCTTGTCTGACCCCTAACAACATCATGTTAAGAGAGGATGACAAAGTCACTATCAGTAAGTCAGAGTTATCTCCTCCTGATCTTGTCTGACCCCTAACAACATCATGTTAGGAGAGGACGACAAAGTCACTATCAGTAAGTCAGAGTTATCACCCCCTGATCTTGTCTGACCCCTAACAATATCATGTTAGGAGAGGACGACAAAGTCACTATCAGTAAGTCAGAGTTATCTCCTCCTGATCTAGACTGACCTGACCCCTAACAACATCATGTTAGGAGAGGACGACAAAGTCACAATCAGTAAGTCAGAGTTATCTCCTCCTGATCTAGACTGACCTGACCCCTAACAACATCATGTTAGGAGAGGACGACAAAGTCACTATCAGTAAGTCAGAGTTATCTCCTCCTGATCTAGTCTGACACCCCCCCCCACTAACAACATCATGTTAGGAGAGGACGACAAAGTCACTATCAGTAAGTCAGAGTTATCTCCTCCTGATCTTGTCTGACCCCTAACAACATCATGTTAGGAGAGGACGACAAAGTCACTATCAGTAAGTCAGAGTTATCTCCTCCTGACAGATCAGTAAGTCAGAGTTATCTCCTCTTGATCTTGTCTGACCCCTAACAACATCATGTTAGGAGAGTACAACAAAGTCACTATCAGTAAGTCAGAGTTATCTCCTCCTGATCTAGTCTGACACCCCCCCCCACTAACAACATCATGTTAGGAGAGGACGACAAAGTCACTATCAGTAAGTCAGAGTTATCTCCTCCTGATCTTGTCTGACCCCTAACAACATCATGTTAGGAGAGGACGACAAAGTCACTATCAGTAAGTCAGAGTTATCTCCTCCTGATCTTGTCTGACCCCTAACAACATCATGTTAGGAGAGGACGACAAAGTCACTATCAGTAAGTCAGAGTTATCTCCTCCTGATCTAGTCTGACACCCCCCCCCACTAACAACATCATGTTAGGAGAGGACGACAAAGTCACTATCAGTAAGTCAGAGTTATCTCCTCCTGATCTTGTCTGACCCCTAACAACATCATGTTAGGAGAGGACGACAAAGTCACTATCAGTAAGTCAGAGTTATCTCCTCCTGACAGATCAGTAAGTCAGAGTTATCTCCTCCTGACAGATCAGTAAGTCAGAGTTATTTCCTCCTGACAAATCAGTAAGTTAGAGTTACATCCTCCTGATCTAGACTGACCACCCCCTCCCCCCCCCCCCCCCCCACACTTACAGAGGATGAAAAAGTCACTATCAGTAAGTCCTTCTGGTACATAGTAAGTCAGAGGTTACAGTGTATATGTTACTATATTAAGTATCTCATCCTATAGATAGTAGACCTGGAGTTATCTCCTCCTGATCTTGATTTTAGTTGGTTATTATACAGTTGTCTTCAATACAGGGAAAAATTTTTAAGATACTGATTTTAAATTTAGAATACTTAGTGCGATCTAACCTTAAAACTTAAAAAATCCTGCATCTTTTTATCCTTAAAAATTGAGATCTTAAATCATTAAAAAAAATTTTATCTTAGAGACAGAGGTGTCAATAAGGTATTATAATAGTACTTAATGAAATATGCTAAAAGTTTACTTTAATTTTTCCAGCTGATTTTGGATTAGCCAAACAGAAGAGAAGTGACTGCAGTAAAATGACTTCAGTAGTGGGCACCATTCTCTATTGGTGGTAAGTAGTGGGCACCATTCTCTATTGATCTGGTAAATAGTGGGCACCATTCTGTATTGATTGGGTAAATCATGGGCATCATTCTCTGTTGGTGGCAAATAGTGGGCACCATTCTCTATTGGTGGTAAGTAGTGGGCACCATATTCTCTTTTGATTGGGTAATAAAAAATGGGCATCATTTTCTATTGGTGGTAAGTGATGGGCATCAATTTCTCTATTGATTGGGTACATGGTGGGTATCTTTCTTTATTGATGGTACATTGTGGCATTAGTGGATACCATTCTTTATTCTCTAAACAAGATTAGATACAAATAAAGTGACTTTTTTACCTGTAATCTAACAGATACATTTTCTTTTCCTACATGTACACATATATTCTCAAAAACATAGGAGTTTTCAAGCCTCGAGAAAGATTCCATTCCTAAACTTTCAAAAATTACTTAGTGTAAAACTTGAGTGTCTGAAATCTTTGATGGCACTTCATTACAAAGTATGTCTTTCTCTATTATCACAGTCCGGAGATAGTACAGAACTTTCCGTATGGAGAGAAGGCTGACGTCTGGGCTCTGGGCTGTATCCTTTATCAGATGTGTACACTAAAGCCCCCCTTCTTCAGTGACAATATGTTGGTGCTTGTTAACAAGGTGAGAGGCACCTTAAGGAAATTTATTAAATTGATTCCATATAGAGCGAAGCAATGAAAAAATGGCATATTAGCCCTTTAATTTAATTTATAAAGGTAATTATTATCAATCATCATGAATATGTAATGCTATGCAAGATTATTGTCAAAAAATCATTATGAACTTCAAGTTAGAAATCAAGTTTAATGTAGGATACTGAATAAGAAATATTAATGTTACAGATTGTGAATGCAGAGTATACAGCTATTCCAGAGGGAGCTTACTCCGACAGAATTATTCAGACTGTCAGAAGGTACATATTAAAGATCAATAATCAAAAGACTGAAACCTGTATCTAATTTGACATGTACTGGAAGACAATACACAGAGTGTTGAATTTGCTTAATGTTTAACTGTCTTGTTTTTTTTCAGCTGTATTTGTAAATCAGTGGACGATCGTCCTGACACGGTTCAGTTGGCATCACAGATCGCTGACAAACTCCTGGTACATGTGGACAACCTCAGGATTAATCAGATAACACTAGAGAAAAAGCTAGAGAAGGAACAAAAGAAATCACAAAGGTAAAGTATAGAATCACTCTGGGAGAGTTTATTCAACGTAGCTCAAAACACTTGTACACTGAACCATAGAAGAAAAAATAGATCATTTTAATATTTACTAATTCATATGACTCAGAATTAAGAGTAATTCAAAGAGTTTTTCAAATGACTCTCATTTTGATATATTTTTGCACTGTAAAATCACATATTCTCGTGGGGTCAAAATTTCGTGTTTTGAGGAAGAAATATGAGTTCGTGGGGATATAATTTCGAGGATGAGGAATTGTTGAGTAGAAATGTTTGTGAAAAATAGTGAACTAGTATGACAGAAGTATATGTCCTTTGTCTAATTGACTACTGCGAACATGCACTTAAACAACTACAATCATGATCAACTTTGTGATTTTCAGACATTACTTTGAGGCTAACCAGAACATGCAGAAGTACCATCAGTTGTTCCAGATCTCTCAGGAGAAGTACGACCGCTTGGCCAACCTGGCGGGTAGTGGAGGGGCGGTGGCCCTGAAGGACGGGGACATTATTGACCCGAGTCTGGTGGAGGTCGAGTTTACCCGAGCTCTCCAGTCCGAGTCCCTCTCTTCAGGAGGTAAGAAAAGTCAAATAAGCAAAACCTGTGAAGTTTATATTGATATCTTAATTCTATTCTGTGAAATCTAGCAATTTACTGAATGAAATTATTATAAGAAACCCAGTTTTTTTTCCCAAAATTAAGATTCCTCCATATTTTGAAATTAAATGAAATTTTATAAGACTTTTGCTATAGTAAGAAAGAAGTAAGTAAATTTATTTATAGTCGGACTGTACATGTATTTATATAACAAAATAGTGCTATTCAGATCTGATTTTTTGATGTGCTGTCAAACATTCTTTTGATTTCCATCCATTTCAATCTGTTATTTAAGCATACAGACAATGATGTGTATACATGTGTTCTAGGTTTATCTTCTGATGAGGAGGATGAAAGCTGCCCCAGCAGTGAGTGTGAGAGTAGGGAGAGCAGTGCTGGGAGTACCCGGGGGACCAGACGCCTCCCCTCCATCCCCCGCCCGCCCCACACCCCAAAGACACGACGGGCTGAGCGCAGACCCAAGCGGTCACAGTTCACCTTGTCTCCTCTCAGTCTGGACATTCCTAATGGCCACTGTGAGTTCAGACGCTATTCTGCTACTATGTTTAAATAGTAGACCATGTATATACATGTGTTTATATTTTGACAATTTACAAATTGTTGTATTACACGGGAATTTCTAAGTTTCTAAACTCGTGTCTGATCCTGTTGACTCTTTGTCGAAAAAATATTTCATTTCAATCAATTTTTTGTAACCTTAAGTGATCATGTAAATAAGGATAGGGAAAACATATCAGTCTGAAATTTTAAATCCACTGAGTTGCTAGTTAGTTTCACTAGTTGAGATACATTTTACAATGAAGAATTTTTTTGACATCTTGGTTCTGTTTTTATAGCTCGGACGATTCGTGACTCTGGGTACAGTTCAGGTGACCCCTCCCCCAGTAATCTGACATCGGCCTCCAGTTCCTCTGACCTGCTGATTAATGGCCACGAGCAGAGTCTGACAGCACGGGACTACCATCGCTCTAACAGCATGCCAGCTCCGCAGTCTGTCGCCAGGAACAAGAAGAAAACCAAGAGACCCAGTAAGTTCTCATTATTTCAATTACAGTTACTTCCTATCCAATCTTATATGTATAGAGAAATAGAAATCTTTACCTTGGACTAAAACTAAGTTTTGAAAATAGGGTTATAGTGTTAAAAAAGATAAATATTTATCTCTGTTAATTTATAATTTTTCTTTGATATGATATAAGAGTAAAATCAAGTAATAACTAGAAGTGATATATTAAAGAAGCAAGTTGATCATGTTAATAATATAAATTGGAATTTTTTTCATTTTATATTTTCAAAAATTCCCAAAAGAAAACATGTATGTGAAGTACATTAGTTATTGATGTATTTTAACGTTATTTTGTAATTTGTGTTCTGCAGACAGTGCTAACACACCAACTGTGACAATATCCCAGCGTAAAGTGCGACAGATCAGTGACCCGATTCAGCAGATGATGCATCAGCTTCACAAAATCCTGTACATCTGTCAGCTTCCACCCACCTTAGATCCACACCCCAAACGTAGACTGGTGGAGAAGTTCAAAAGGGCATTGTTTGCTCCCGATAGTAACAGCCTCAATCTGAAGACAGAGGTCAAAAAGGTAATGGTTCAGGATATACTAATAAATTTGAATACTTTCACTTTCATTTCTCATTTTGCATTATTCTGTAATGTTCTAAAATAGGTAGTTTTTTTGTCAGATTTATGAGAGAAAAAATAAAATATCATTTATATGTACAGAATTACTGTCAGAAACGTTTTTAAAAAATGGAAATACAGCTGATATACATGTATTTCTTATGCATAATATTGATAATTACAAACCCGATAAATATTTTTATTTTTTTCTCAGTTGATGTCTGGATCAAGGGAGATAATTGACATGAACTTAGGTCCTGTAGAGAGTAAGAGAGTTAGTTCAGCCAGTTCTGTAGAAGGGGAGACCACTCCAGACGATAACAGTGGTATATATATATGTTTGTTTAATACATAATTACATGTATAAAAGCTTTTATCACACATATTCTAAAATAAATTTTAATGAAGTTTAATGTATAAATACTATGTGAATTAAATTATGAGCGCTAATAAGTTTAAGTAAAATAATTTCAATTTTTTCCTCTCCAGTGAACCACCAGTTTGATCCTGATTTTAAGGAAGCAGGGATAACCTATGAACAAATGCAGACTTACATAGAGGGCATTCTCAGTGACTGTGGCTACTATAGCAGTTTGCCCAGTGCCCGAGGCAGAACTCCGCCCCTGGGCCCAATATTACCCAAGTAAACTATACAGCTGCCAGAGAGAGTATCAGAAATTCTCCCCGTTTTAGTCTAGATTCGCCTGAGATGAAATTGCACATCTTTGTGTCAGTTCTGGAAAATACCTAGGCCCTTGTTATTTTAAAGATTGACAGAGAAGATTCAATTGTTATGTTATACTTTGTTTTGTACCTTTTTAAGGGATTTATCATCTGAAAGCATTCCTTAAAAGAATTCCATGAATTTTCTAAATCATTCCAGACATTATAGGAACAATTTTCCAAGTATCACAAGACAGTATTAACAATACATGTAATACTTCTCAAAACTGATAAGCAGCATTAAAATTTTTCTGATTATTACCAAATCAAAAAAAGAATTTTACCCCACCAGAAGTTGTTGAGATATAAAAAGATGTTTACAGCTTGTTATAGAGATGTTCAAATTATTTACATCAAAATGTTTCTGTTGTTGATGTGTTTTTTGTAATGATTTTAGTGATATTACATCCATATTTATTTTTCAAAAGTGATTTGTAAAATCTGAACTTTCAGGGAATGTTTTACTCCCTTTTACGTCACATTCCATTCCAGTTCTGGGTAAATATCAGGTGTATAACTAAGGGTGGGGGCATACAGAGAAGATTTTCTATGATGTACTGTCGATGAATAGATTTTTTTGTCACCCACATAAAAATTATCTAATGTTGATATTTTATTTTTTTTGCCATTATGTTCATATGATTCCCTCCAGAAATGTTCACATATTTATATGTTTATTCGTTTTATTTTTAAACCAATTTTTTTTTTTTCATTTTTGCTCCACAAAATTTATATTTTTACATATAAGCCGTCCATGGTCCCTTTTGTTTTTAATTTGTTGGGAGGTTGCCAGTATATATTATTTTGTCTCCTATCATGATTTCATTTCCAGTATTGTTTTGCTAAAATGCATGTACTTGTGTATTGAAAAAATAAATCAATTTTCAAACAAGAAAAAAAAAAAACTAAAGAATTCAGTAAGTATTTAAGTGACTGATTAAAATTCACATAGCATTTTTGCACAATATACAACTGTAGTAGAAACAAATTGACATTAAAAGTTAATGGATTGGGAAAAGGGATGGGGTCATTAATTTATTTTAAATGATTCTATGATTGTTTTAATTTATTTATTTTAATTGTGTATATTATTTATCATGCTTAACTTAATCCCACACATAAAAGTGCTATACGATGATGTACCAGTTGTAATTACGTAGGATGAAATAAGATTTGATTTGAATTGGGTATAGAAATGGCTATTTGCTTGGTTCATTCAAATGATTCTCAAAGAGAAATATTTATTAAGAGCAGATACCTATTACATGAAATTTGATATAATGTAATGATCATTGTTGATTGTATACAATCTCGGTGTGGTGTATATTGTTGATTCCTGTGATTTTTTTCCCAATGTTTTGTTGTGGTTCATATATACCGTCCATTTTTATTTTAAGGTTGCATGTTGTCAGATATATTTAATTATTGTTGATAATGTTATGATAAGTAATTTATGAATTAATATATATTATAAATTATTAATTATGAAATAGTATACTGATCTTGTTGTTCAGATTTAGTTCTGACTGATTTTTGTTGATCATTAGTTTTTATCTTGGGACAAAACAATATAGATTTTATGTCAGTGCACTGCATGTATCAAAAGATGGTTATATTGATGACACTGCATTTGTTTGATAGTCTTTATGTAAACTTATGAACTTATACAACATGTACAAGTAAACTTTTAATTTTATTTTTTAATTTGACACTAATTACTATGAAATTTATAAGAAAATATATATAACTGCATTTGAAGCTTTCAGAGGAAAAGAAGAGATGCTGAAAATCTAATCACTGAGATTTTCTATCTAAGTCAGATTAACATAGTGTGCATTCTTTTTCGTTTAAAACATCTTTTACACTTTTCATGAATTTCACATAATCATATCCTTAACAGTAAGTCATTTCCTTTTCTGTGTATAATCATTAAACCTCAGTGATGCATTGAAGGATTGTCACATTCATTAATTCATCCATGAATATACCCCTTGTTTTGTGTGTTTTTATTTTTTCTCCGTCCAATTTTATTATTTTAATCCCAAATTCCACAGTCATTTTTAAACACATTTACATAAAGTGATTAATGTACTTAACTTTTTGCTTATGTATATATAGATATAAACCTAGCTGTTTTATTTTACTTTGTATAAACTGATGATTTATACATGTGATGGATCGCTTTCCCACTATGTTTTGTTGATGAGTCCATGAATATTTATCTTGAAAACATGACAATTTCATTTGTCAATAAATAATATAAATCTACTGATTTAGTTTTTTTTTAAATAATTTCTCATGTGCTTGGTCACTTGACAAGAAGGCGTGTTAATGTTTTGGGGTGTCTGGGGAAGAAGGGGGGATAGTGATAACCTTAAAATGATGCTACATGTTACTTGCAATGCATGGTTTTTTTTTCTGACATCGATGGTCCCTCATGGTGTATGGTGTCCTTTGAGTTGACACAAATGTCTTTGACCTTTGGTCTTAACTTTCACATTGGGCATATGCTATTACTACAAGAAGTTTTAGGTAATGCATGGTATCTTCTCCCAGACATACAGTTCGGTGACTTGTGGTTTTTCCGTTTCCATCTGTCAATGTCCATCGTGCTTTAACATTTGAACATTTTCAGTTTCTTCTCTGGAACCATTGAACCAATTTTGGCATATGGCATCAATGGGTGAAGGGGAGTAAAAATTGTGAAATTCATGCCCCCTGCCCCACCCACCCCCTCTTGGGGGGGTCCTGAAGGATGGGGCCATCAAAAGTAATGCAATCTTTAATTTTGTTTTACTCCCAAACATCAACCAGTTAAAATGTTGGCATGATTGCAATAAGGATTGCGTCTACCAAAATTGAAATATATGCCACAGGGTCAGGGTTGGGGCTCTGTTGAATTTAAAGTGAAAATGCACTTGTTTAAAACTCATCTCCTCTGTCCCTGGTATTACAGAAACAAACTAAATGCATAGTTAAGAAGAGCAAGTGTCTCTTCCTAAATTTTGAATTTCTTGGCCTACGAGTCAGTAGTTCTGGTGTTAAAGCGAGGCTCTATAATTCTTTGAAAATCTCCTCTTTTCCTCGGTATTAAGCCAATGAATTAAACGCATGGTTATGATGAGGGAAGGTGCCTCTTCAAAAATTATTAAATTCATAGCCCCTTGATCAAAGGTGCTACAGTATAGGGTAGGGCTCTGTTGAATACACATGTATAATGAAAATCCAATATTTGTTTAAGGAAGGTCCATACTTTTACGGATCCGGTTTTAATTTTACACACCAATATAAAATTATGATTATTACTTGTGTAATGAAATAAAATCTTTCTGGATGACTGAAAATAATTTTGCAAGTATATATTTGTTTATTATAGTGTCAATGTGCATACAAAGCATTTGATATACATTATTTATGGAAATTCACACTTTGCACTATGTCCATATGATGTACATGTCATTTAGTACATACACTGACACGAAATTTTTATCTGCTTTTATGGACCTAAAGCTTTTTAACTTTTTTTTATAACTAACTAACTTGATATTTATCTTTATTGATTTTGAGTCTATATCATCATTTTAATTTTTTTTCGAGCTTTGCAAAGAATGATTGAAAAAAATGATATTTAAAAAATGGGGGTATACATGTTCAAAAGGCTGTTTTGTTTAATTTTTCTGGTCAATCTTAATAAAATTTGTGTTTTTGTGAACTTCAGATATAATTCTTAATAGTTTTAAAGAAAAATTGGCATCTAAACAATTTAGATTTTGAGAATTATAAAAAATAAAGATATTTTTAGATTTTTTTCTGAAAGACGTGGACAGATTCAACCTCAATTTGCTAATGTTATCCAATAAAGATTTCAAATATTCTCTTCGAAAATGAATATTTTTGATTTTCATAAGTTTTAACATAAATTTGATGTGATTTGGTGCATAGCAAAAAAAAATATGAGATCACACATCTTTATGTTCAATTTTGTGTGTTTAAGTTTTACAGGTATGTACTCCGAAACATGTAGCATGAAAATTAACCTGCAAAGATATGTCTTTTATGGGTGTTTTAGTTAGTTTATGACTTATTCATGGTATTCAAATCAAAAAATTATAAGTTTGACAGAAAATTTTGAAAGTACGGACCTACCTTAAAAATCTTCTCTGCTGTTATTACACACAAATTCATAGCTATACACACAAAATTAAGAAATGTGTGGCCCTAGAGTTTCAGAATAGGTATTATTTCCGTTTTTGTTTTATTCTGGGTATTACACGATTAAGTAAACAATGTAAGTGTATAGCTATGAATTCGAAGAGAAATGGTACCTCTTAAAATTGTGAATTTTAAGAAAACTTCAATTTCCGATGTATATACCGGGGTATCTTTTTCAGATTCAGGCATTTTTTCTTTACATAAAAGAAAGTATCCTTAAAAATGATTTCTCATTTCTTATGCAAAATGATAAATATCTTTTCCTTTTGTAGGGGGGATGATATGGCTGCTACATGCATTTTTCTCTTCACATTTTCTGGTTAAGGTGACAAACCCAGATATACCGAAAATAAATATAGTTTGATCCACGGAACTGCAAAATGAGAGAGAGAGGGGAGAGAGAGAGAGATTTAAATTAACAATAGAATGGAAAACGTAAAATTTCTCGGTTTGTTTGTTTCTATTTTATCAATGGAAACCAGGTATTTAAAGTTTTACCTGTAATGCAAGCGTAGCGTGCCATAGTGGATTTTGTTTACATTAGCATCGATATTTATAAAGTCGGAAATTGCCAAATACGCCGGTCCGTACCCTCGCCTTAAGAAACTAAGGCATTTTCAAACATGGAAGTCCTGAAAAAATTAAACGACCCAAATTTAACAGCCAGATTTCAAAAATTTTGTGGAGTTTCTTACCCAAATATTCAAAACTGCGAGGAATGCCAAAAACAACACGAAAATAATAATCAGGAGTTACAAAAATTGGACAGGTGTTCAAAATGCCGGGTGAGGGTGCATGAAAATTTTGGATCCGCCTTTCTATTTTATCTCTTTTCGTTCTCATCCTCCCTCGGGAATGAGGTGTTTTACTTGCTTTTTTACCCGTATTGTGTGTGGAATGTGGACAGTATTCTCATCCGGAGGACCGCCCTTGTGTGGAGCCTGTGTATGTATGTCGGACAGGCCGGCAAGGATTATTTCTGGTGGCCGCGCCCCTCCTCTCCTCCTGTGATCCGCCTAGAGACTGAATTTCTCCAGGAGTCCTCCATGCCCTCCACCCACGCGGCGTCCGCCACCGCCATCCCTTTCATGCTTGCTTACTATCTCCTCGCCAGATATGAGGTTTGTATATTTTGTCAAAAATAATTTTCACCCCACCAGAAAAGTCAATCAACACCCCTTCCCTCCATTCTTAATGCCCATTGTCCCTACCTAACCATTATCCCTTTGTATCCACATATCCCCAAGTAACCACTTAAAGACACACTACGGCCCCAATTTTATTAGCCCTGTAGCTGTACCTCTTTATTTGGCGAAAACGTAACATTCTGCATTTTAACGCGTTTTAAACGAGTAATGAATAATTCATTAAGATTTGAAACAAACTTGCAGTAAACAATTTTTTTATGAGGGATGTGTTAAAGCTTGAAATTTTTGCATTGGAGTTGTATTTTATATATCATATCAGATATCTCTTGCTAGATGATCGATCGCTATACATGACTAAAATCTTAAATCTTTTCAAATCTTTGTAGAGCTTTATTTGTATGGAGAAGTGAAGAATTAACACCTACTTTAAATACCTTGCTTCAAATCATTTTAACAATTAACCATTCATTGATTCATATACACAGTACATAGAATCTATATGATTTCAAAATCCTAGCAATAATACTATGTACATTGAATATGCAGACCCTATCAATAAAGCATATAGCTGACTAAAAACGGCATGTCTATCCATCTGAAAGCTATTGAGCATTTATATGTAGATTATCCCCTTGTATAAATCTTTGTCAAATCTTGTACAAAGATTGCATCACATTGAATGTGAGATATACTGGTAATAAGCCATTATTTTATTCTATAAGCCCTCAATACATCTTCTTTAAACCCCCCCCCCCCCCCCCCAAAAAAAAATTAAAAATGAAACAAATTGAAAATATGATAAAAATGAATAAAAAACTAAAAATAAATTTAACATTCAATTGCTCTGATGTTCAGCTCTATTTTTTAAAGGGGGGGATACTTCCTTAATCGGATCCGAATTTTTTTCGAATGTATTTATATTGGCAAATCCAGCAATGAGGTAGTATTTGGTTCCCTTCTCCGGATTTGACAGTCATCATACGTCTAAAACCAAAGAATGATTTTAATCCCCCCCCCCAATCCCCACTCCCACCAAAACTGAAAATGTGTTACATGCATACAAGTGAAAAGAGTACATGTATAAGAATGTGAAGGAATAAAGAATCTTTTCTTTGCATGAGATGTGCATGTCGAACCCCTTCCTATCAATGAAGTCAAATTATCTTGATGAGATGGTACTTTGTTGGTTTGTTTATTTCTCCCTCTCTCTTTTGTGAAAAAAAAAGTTGCTAGTCCGATTTTTTTTCAGTTGCTATTGATCCCCCTTTCTGATCCACCCTTGCAGTGCTGCTGTACTTTAATTACACATCATGATTTAGAAAGAGCTTATACATGTAATGAACGGGGGTAATATTTAACTGATTTATTTCAAAATTTATATTGGGGGGTGCAGATATTAAATACTTATTTTTCAGGATGATCCGACATGCGTCAAGTTTCTATTCCCCATATTCGTTGACTATAGTGAAGTACAATATACTCCTTCTATTAAAACTATCTTTCAGTTTTAGTAAAATTACAAGCTGTTTTATATTTCATTTCAGATATCCCCTTACTTGGTCCTCCCTGTAGCCTTTCTGTGGTGTACCTTGGTCTGCCTCAGTCGCCTGTACCTCGGAGTTCATACAGTCCTGGTATGTAGTAAAGGGGAGGGGGGGGGTGAAGAGGAGAATTATGTATGCATGGAGCTAAAATAGATATAAATGGGTCATAAAAAGGCAGGGTTAAGGTATCCGACCCATTCTAGCCTCAAATTCGATGATATTGAATGTTATATTTGGGCTGAAGACTCATATGACTTCGAAGAATTATTTCCCTTTGTTTTAAGAGAATAAAAAATAAAATATGTTTTCAATCGCCTTTTCAGTTCTTAGGAATAAATTAAAATTCGATAAAAACATCTTTCCACCTTAGAACTTATGGATATTCATAGTATTTAAAATTTTACACCCCCCCTCCCCGCGCCCTCGACATTCCCGAGTGCAATCATTGCCTACTAGGTAATGAAATTTTTTGAAAATTACTCTTGGTATTTCACTTTTTCTACTCTTATAAATCTCAGAGTATTTTATACACGAAAGATATTTAAGGTAGAAAATTAGGTCTAAATATGGGAAATAAGCTTTTAAAGTAATATACCAAATATGGAGAAATGGGTATTTAAAGTAATACAATATGGAAACTTCCTTATAGACAGACAAACAAACATGCAGACGTATATATATAATTAATCGACATATAAGAGACTGGGTCAGAAAAATATGTATATACATGTATATACAGGTTCGCCATTCTCTTTATCGTTAGCCAAGCCTTCTCAAACAATATCTTAATAATTTGTATTTACATGACTGAGATATCGGTGTGTGTTTCAAAATACATTTACAAGTGTTTGAGAAAGACGGTGAACGACAATTATCGCTCTGTTTATATTTGTTAGACCCATATTTTGCCACAACGTTTGTAAGTTGATCTACATTGTAAATGGTCTTTGACCAACTTAGATATTTAAAAATCTGTCAGCGCTCTTTTTTTTTTTTAAAAAAGATCAATATTTAGAATGAAATATACATGCATGCATAAAGAAGACGTATAGACAAAGCATGAAAAATCGAATAATTGTTTACCCCCCCCCCCCCCCCCCCCCCCCCCGCGGAAATCCCCCCGCGGAAATGTTTATCATCCAGCATTTCACGAGACAAATTTTTGTTTTAAAATTTTCGACAATGTGAAATGTGTTTTCCATGCAAACACATATATGCATATTAAGTCCACCAAATGAAAGTTGATCCAAGTACCTTAATTCTTTCGGCCAATTAAAATACCGATGGTAATAACTAATACCCCGGTATAAGGTTTAAATATATAAAACGTAGATATTTTATGATACAATGTAAAATAATTTTTTTTACTAAATGACCATGACCATGCAAGATTAGATAATTGTAAACTATTACAGTTTAAAGGAGAGTAGACTCTCATAAATATTATCTGTTTCCAGATTTTTCTTAGCTGTTCTCAATTTTTGACACCCAGTGTTATAAGACACCCGTTTTCGATGTAAAACACACGCCGTTATCAATTTCATATATCCTCAGTTTGTTCAACTAGACAAAATTTTGCTTTTTTCCCAACAGAAACCTGTATATCATAATTGACATGCGAAGAATTTTTGCATACCCTGCAGTGGAAATTTTTGTCAAAAATCGTCTTTAAACATTTTTTTTACTTACGAAATAATAGCCATTTTTCATAATGAGAGTTATCTTTCTTATCAGAGGGTAAATTAACCTTAATTTTGAAAATGCAAGACTAGAAGCAAAACAGTTAAACAACTGACACTTAAAATTAGTAGTTAAAATGGTTTGATATTTATCCCCCCAAAATATGTTTTGGAATACCATCGTATTTGAAAAAAAATACATTAAAACTGTGTAGAACGATTTGAAGGTAAGGGAGAGGGATCGAGTGAGGGATGGGGAATCATACAGGTGTAAACTTGATAACTAATTTATTCAAACTTTTGTGTTTTACAGGACCTCCTTTGTGGTGTGGGTATCTCTCTCGTCATCATGGTAATCTCGTTTCCATTCCTAGAAGACTTTGATTGGTATCAACAGACACACCCCTTTGCTCCCTTTGTCGTCTTGACAACAGCCATTGCTATGTGCACTGTGCTATACCCACAAAGCAAAGATGGCAGTAGTTCAAAAGGCGACGCTGTGCAGATTGTGTCAGTGCTTACCGGGGTCAGCATCGGTTCTTGGCTCAATTATTATTTTCATTTTACCACTACCGGTGGTCTAAGTGGTCCTTATGACGTCAATATTCCAACTGTGCGTGATTTGGCCATTCAAATTCTGAGATTTTTCATTGGAGTAGTCATTATAGCTTTACTAAAGTTAACATTGAAAGAAATTACTGTACGGCTATTTTCAAAATTCTATGGTTTGAAAACGCCTAATCCGGAACATCCTTCAGTGAAAATTGCTTATAAATTTGCAGTATATGGTACTATTGGTTTTTCTGTTGTTTTTCTTGTGCCATTTATCCACTGCATGTTTGGACTTGAAAGAGAGACTTATTTTCAAGAAGTGGTTTAGCATGTTTATTGAGTGCATCAAGTGGCAAAGCCATAGAATATATTTATTTATATTAAAATGAGGAGTTGTTTGTCTGTTTTAATTATAAGTACCAGCCTTGATGAAATATTAGCCCGGTGAAGATTGATTAACTTTAAATAATAAGTAAAGATGAAATGTGTCAATTTAATTACTTTTGATGCCCCCGAAATTGAAGATTCGGGGGGATGTAATTTTTGTCCTCTCCGTCCGTCTAGCTGTCTGTTTGCAATAAAGAACTTTAAACTTGTCCACATGATAATTTTTGAATGGTTGGAGTTCCATGACTTTCATGTATAGAAGCGCCATACCACACCATCTGATTTTTTAGATGTAAGAAAATTGTGGTAATACGATTGTATCAAGCAAATAAAGAATAATAATACCGGTAATATTTTACATGACGTTTTTTTTCCTTGTAATATTTTACATATATGACGTTTTTTCCTTTGCAAAATATGCCAAGATGTAACCTTGGACATAACCTTTTAAACAGTTGTTGCTTAAGCTTCAATACTTCACTTGACTTTCAATTGACTTATAAATATAATTTTGACCTTGGCCTTTGAGTTCTACTAATTAAAAAAATCTTTAACCTAGACCATAACTTTTGAACAGTTAATATTCCACAGCTTTTTGCGAACCATGGACATGACCTTTTAAAAAGTTGTTGCTTGAGCTTCAATACTTCACGTGACTTTCAATTGACTCAATATAATTTTGACCTTGTTTTATTATACCTTTGAGTTCTACTAATTTTGAAGTTGTTTACAATAAAAAATCATCTTTAAAACTATTTGGACCATAACTTTTGAAAATCGGTGAAATTTTTGTATATTCAATTGAAACGATATATCTGCATATTGTAACGATAAAATTTTACCGCATTCTGTATGGTAATGCAAAACTTTTTAAAAACATGTTTTTTATTCAAATAATTATTATTTTATGACACTCAAAAACGTATTTTTGACCTACTTTTAGAAAAAATAATGACTTTATATCCTTGCCATATCTTTTGAACAGTTGATATTATCGCTTAAAAAATTTACAATATCATATCTGATGACAAAGCCCTCCCCTTGGTAACCTTCATTTTACTTTGACCTTGGAGTTTGACCTACATTTTAAAAAAATATATAACCTTGCAAATTGGCCATTACTTTTAATGATTTGTGCCTGGGTTTTTTTATATTTCACAAGTGTATTCATTGAGAAAGTCTTTTATTTTGATATCTTGACCTTAGAGTTTGACTTGCATTATCAAAAGCTGAACTTCGGAGGCATCAGTGTTTCACAAACACATGTTTTTATGTGTTGCTCGTACTATACTATAGTATATACATGTAGAATATATTCCACGACTTTTACTGAACTGAAATCTATTAATTATAATTGTATATAATTTACACCAAACCATTAATTCAAAAACTATATCTAGATAACTTGCTTTTCTAATCTCTGGTCCTATTTGACATATGTAATTATTTTTTATGCCCCCGTAAACGAAGTTTCGGGGATATATAGTTTTTGCCCTATCCGTCCGTCTGTCTGTTTGTCCGCAAAAACGTGAACCTTGTCAATAACTTTGAATGGGTGGGGCTGTGGCTTTCATTTTTCACATGTGCATTCCTTGTGACAAGACTTTTTTGGGTACAACCAAATTTGACCTTGACCTTGGAGTTTGATCTACCTTTACAAAATAAAAAACCTACCACACTTTTACTTTGATCATAACTTTCAAACGGTTTATGCTAGTCGACTTTCTGTGTGACAAGACGTTTCACTGGATTTCAACAACTTTGACCCTTTGACCTTGGTAGATTGACTTAGTACTTTAAAAAAAACTTTAACCTTAGCCATAACTTTTTTAACGGCAAAGGCTAGGGCTTTCATACTAAACATATGTAATCTTTGTGACAAGACCTTTCATTGGATACCAACAACAGTGATGACCCTTTGACCTTGACCTAAAAGTTTGACCTACTTTTAAAAAAACTTTAATCTTTGCAATAACTTTCGAACATGTGTTAGGGCTATCATATTTCACAACTGTATTTCTTGTGAGAAGGCCTTGCTTTGGGTACCAACATTTTTGATTTGCATTTGAGAAAGTTTAACCTTCGCTATGTTGCCATACGGGGGCATCAGTGTTTCCACAAACACATCTTGTTTTTAATTTGATATATTTAGAAAGGGCTTAATTTTTTGCAGCATTAGCAATTTATAATACTTGACATAGATCTCTTTCCTGCATCACGATATCAATGTCATTTACTCATATGTGTTAGGAATTTTACCGCTAGATCATGAGATCGTGTTCTTTGAATTCCATTATTTGTTTTGCCTAGCTCTACTTACATGTACTTCTAGTCTTGTAAATTAATGTCACGTAAATTGTCCCAGTTCGTGCATTTTTCTTATCCTTCGTATTGCGCCGAGTTGTCAAAAATTTGACTTGTATGATTTTTTTATTATCTTAATCTTCTAAATTCTTAGTCAGAAATTAACTGTAGGAAAATTAATATATTTCTGGATTCTTTGTAATTTTTTTTAAAACTTTAAACCGTGTTATTGCTACGTTACGGTCCAGAGCTGTTAATCCAGTAGCAGGTGGTGAAGGGGTGGACTACGATGAAGAAATTTAAGTCTGCTACTAAAATTAACTAAACTCTTATCGACTACAGATATTGTGAGGGTCTTTGTTATTGTAAGTCTGCACCCTCCCCTAAATTAAAACATTACTAGTTCTGGATCCTCTTCTGCAATCCCTTTATACTACAAGTACCCCGTCTGCGGTTATTCAATAGTCTTCAGCTACATTAACAAAGTACTTGAGAACAAGAACAAAATAAAACCAAGACTGCAGTTCAAACTTTTTGAAAAATAATTTTTATTTTCCGTGACACGTGTATTACACGTGTATAGGACATAACCATGGCAACCACTCACACACTCTGCGGACACACTCTGGATTTATCCATTAATTATAGACAACACTCTCTTTACAAACTGTGTGCCTACTAAAACATTGAAAGACCTTAGCAGCGACAATACTGATATTAATTAACGCTTGTACACCGAGCAGAGCGCGTCCATACCCCCAGCCAATCAGAAAATATCACGGAGTTCAAGTAAAAAGCAGAAAACTGTGGAAAAAATCAAGATTTTTCTGTAATAGAGTTTTAAAAAACACTTTATATTTACTTTAGATTTTGATTTATTTTGAAATACGACGATGTTTCTATAAATTTGTATTATTTTATTTCTGATCATAATATCTGGGGGATGTGAACAACTCGTTTTCTCTTATCTTACATAATTCACTATGTACATAAAACAATTTTTTCACTTTTACACACACACACACACCAATAAAATGGGAGGAAAAAAAGTAAAAATGGCACACAAATCAGAGCCCATATAAACAAACAAGGTGTTAGGAAGAATTAATATATGTGATTAAATGCTGTACCTTAACCAATGGTGATTTAAAAGGTTCAGAAAAACAGTTAAACAAATACCATGTGCACAGTATCAAGAAATCAGATTTAGAAAAAAAAACCAAAGACCAAAAAGGTATTTCATCTTTATAAATAAATTCAAGCATTCACTGAATTCAAGAACTATTGTTAATGTTTTAGACATTTTAGGTACTGAACATTTTAGTACACATTCATTATACTAAACTTAGATAAATAGAATTTTGAATACAGAATATATTTCATAATTTTTAGGTGTATGTAATTATTTGATTATACTGTCATTGTTTTTAGAAAAACACAAATTCTCAACTTAAGAACAGATTATAACAGCTTTAATAAAAAACTTGAAAATTAATGTAGAACTGTTTTAAAGGGAGAAAACCTCTGCACTTTCCAAATTCAGTAAATGCTTGTACTATTATATTGTCTTCATTATAAATGCTCATATAATTGTCAGCAGCTTAGAGTTATTTTTCCTCTTTACATGAAACTGTAACTACATAGTTTCTCAATAGTTATAAGTATTTATTGCTATTCTGCCATTCAATTTCCAAAACATTTTTTTAAAAAGACTCCTCTTAAAATATTCGTAAAAACACAACAGGTTTTAAAAACTTAACATATTAATCAAATTTGGCTTTTAAAATATCAAAAAAAAAGTTTTGCACCACAATTCTAACTTAAAATTGATACATCAAGATTTCATCTGAACATAACATTTAAAACATTAAAACAGAGGATTTGTAAATTAAGAAATATCAGAGTTTTTGTATAGCACTATGAAGGGGAGGGGGTGGAGGTATCGGTTAACTGGGAAACCTGTAGGATATAATCCATGTAACTGCAAATGTATCCATAAAATTACCAAAATATTTCATTCAGATCACTGTTTAATGCTTTAAACTTATATGAGAGAGAAATTAATAAATTGCTAGTTAATTCTGACATATCAGTCATATCAAGAACCATTAAACAGAATTTTGTGAATAATTATGAAAACAATGTTGAACCCATAAAATTACAAGTTAATTAAAATTAAAAAGGAAAAAAAAGTAATATAATTCTGTCCCATCATTATATTCATGATTTAATTCTTAAAAAATAAAATTCTTTTAAAACAATATCAAACACTGAATTTTAATCAATGTCCCAGATGCATATGTAGGACTATTGAATCATCTACTTTTAAACAATTTAATGTACATTATTTCAAGGTTTTGGAGCATAAAAGATCTTTTTTAGAAAATAAAAACACTAAAAGTGTAGACATTGAAAAAGATTCATTATGGCATATGGGATACAAAATCCATTATTTTGTATTCAATTTTAGATTATCTTATTTGCTTTGTTCATCAATACATCATTAAACATGCAAGAGAGAGAAAAATCTGCTTTTGTAGATGTGAATACCAAATAATAAAAAAAAAGAAACAAATGAGACAGCCACATTTAAATTTTCACGATTGAACACTCAGCAATTCTCTTAAATCCCTAATCAAATACCCCCCCCAAAAAAACATTCATACAAATAACACAGTTTGTCCGTAATGGAAGCGCACGCTCATATTGGATCTCTTTCTTACTATAATAACAAACTGAAACAAAATATTCATTCTTTTTGTCGCTTGGTCATAAATATTTCAATCACATTCAAAATGGAATTAAAGGTTAAATATCTATCCATTTAATCTATCCCCATTGATTTATTTTCTTATGATTCTCATCAGGACACACCCCTTTCTTGATATCACATCTATACAGCAATTATGCTCAACAAACTATGGTCTGCTCTTGCCTCGTGTTTGGAAACAAAAATCAAACTCTGATCAATGTTTTTAGCACTATTACATGTCTGGATTTTCTACTGTCTATTGTTTGTTCAAAATTGATTTCTTACCCTAAAATATCTTTATTTTAAACAAATCTGGGAGACTATCCTATTATTATATATCTATTTTAATGAATGTATCAACACAAAAATGGAATTCAATTTCTAAATATCTGTAAAAATGAAGTTTCTTTTTAGATAATTAGGGCTTTCAGTTATATTTTCTTCCAAAATCAGGTTATCTAAAACGTTTAAAAAAAAAAAGTAAAAGATGAATATTTGTCTTAGGATGAAAAAATTCAAAATTTGAACAAACATATTTCACCAACAATTAGCTTATCACAGCCTAGAATGCCATACACTAATTCCTACAGGTTAAGAATGAATTTCTAAATTCCATACAGATACACTTGCTCATAAAATACAACAGCTCAAATGATTAAAAGTTGAATAACTCTGGTTATTCTGTTCTCTGTTGACGACGAGTCATCTTGGTAGAGGATATCCATTTCTAACGAGGTGATTTTTTTCTCGTAAAAATTCCTTTGACGAATAGAATTCTGATGCTTGCAATGGAGAATACATGCGGTTTATTTATAAATATTAAATCACTGCTTTCTGACCACACTGGGAGGTACATGTCCATGTATTCCAGAATTTTTTTGCACCATATTCCAGAAACTCACAAAGAAAAACTTTTTCATGCTGGTTGCCAAGGAAAACGTCTTCATTGCCATGGTAACATTCACACTTTCCCTCACTGAATCACATATTTGGCAAGTAAAAAATAACAAGAATGTTTGTTGTTTGTAACACCTAGTAAAACAAATATGAAGTCTCTGTCTGCATTGTACAGAAGCATCAGTGTTGGGAATTATTTTCAATAATTTATGTACAATTAACTCACTATTCACAACTTGGATTCCTCAACAAGTTTTGTTTTTTGAAGTTTTGAGGAATTGGAGACCCCCACCATCCAATGATGAAATCTTGATCACAAATTTTCCACAAGTCATTTCATCACACACACTTTCTTCCAGGGAAAACATAGTTTTCCCCCCAAAAGGAAACAGTAAAAACCTCTTTTTACCCCGGGGAATTCTGACCCTACCTACAGTTTTGGTAGGACTTGCTTCCCTTTTCCTTGCCATGGATGGAGAGGAAACAGTGAAATTGAAAAAAAATTATCACACTAAATTGATTATCATAGTTTCTCGCCAAAGGTAAAAGAGGGGGACTGGCTAAGAGTTAGTGCGTGTGTACCGAGGGTGGGTGGTCCCGGACTTGGAGCCATCATTGATTCACTCATATGCCTGCAAATAAACAAATGGATGTTAACATCACAATATGCAAATCACAATATGTATCAAATTTACATATACATGACATATGTAACTCAAATTTAAAAATTGATCAGTGAGATATATAGTCTGTATTTAAATGAAGAATACTGTGAAATCTCTCATTTTCATGGGGGTTTATTTTCGTGGATTTTGAGGTATGAAGAGACCCACAAATTTGTCTATAATGAAATTTATTACACACTTAGTAATAAATACAGGTTTTTTGTATATGCAATATGGCTGACGTCACAATAGCCGTATCAGCCCTGCAGGGCTGATATGGATTTGCGGGGCTGATAACCTATATCAGCCCCGCAAATCCATATCAGCCCTGCAGGGTTGATACGGCTATTGTGACGTCATATCACACTCTTAGTAAATTAAACCACAAAAACAGTACTTATGATCGTACAAAATTTTTGGTGGGTTCATATTCTCTTAATTTTAACTTTTTGAAAACAAGGTTAATCTTAATTACGGATCGAGTGCATTGAAATAGAAGTAGAAATAAACCCAAATCGTATGAGACAATAGATCATGTATATTTCTGTAAGAAGTCCATGCATGATTATATTTACTTATTTTCTTCTCAACTTAATGTGTTCTGTATTTTATTACTAAGTATGTAATAAATATAATAAAACATACCCTTTTCCATATCACATCCTGTATCAGCCCGAGACACCAATATCAGCCAGAGGGCCGAAGGCCCTCTGGCTGATATTGGTGTCTCGGGCTGATACAGGATGTGATATGGAAAAGGGTATGTATTATTCTCTATATAACTTTCATCAATCTTCCATCCACGATATTAAATCCCCCAAAACCCATATTTTTTACTCAAACCACGAAAAATGTGATCCCACGAAAATATGTGATTTTACAGTATAAAAGTACATTTAGAACAATATCATATTATTTTAGTAAATGCATGTGCACTACAGAAGACAATTAAATATGCAGAGCTGATCAACTTAAACTGAGTGAACTGGACGGACTTGTTTTCACACATTTCGTTTGTAAATACATATATACTATATCAATAAACATGTGAAACAAATTTTTAGCAATAAACAAGACCTTTGTTTGACAGATGAAGAGTTAAATGGGTCAATTTTACTATTAAATTTGTTCCATGAAATGTTATTCCTGTAAAGATCATTGATTTTAAAAATCTAAGTTTTTAAAGAAGCTGAATAAAAATCATCATGCCCCTATGCAACATTCTTGTGAAAATTGATAAAAAAAAGTCTTTGTGACCCCATTTTATGGATGACAATGCCCAATGATGCCCAAGCGCAAACACTAAAAGCCACATTTATAAATGACAGGTACTTTTCTTTGTTGCGTCATCCCAGAGGGCAATCAGAAATAACATTGATCGTCTGGGTCACCGTCCGTCGACTGAGAACGCGACCTTATCGATTCAGATCGGGATCTAAAGAAATTAAATCCAGCATTAATTTCACTCATCTTTATAGTCATTGTAAATTAAAATGTTTAAAAAAAATGTCATCAATTTTTGGGCTACAAGCTGTGTTAAGCTCACATTTTGGGTGGTAATGTAATCAGAATTGTCCCTGAGGGGGATTTCCCAGTGTATGTCCTAATCCTCTGCTTATTCTGCTGTTCCCTAAACTGTTATTTTCTAATACTCTTTAAGATAACCCTGCCTTTTGTTCACTAGACATGAGGGTTCAGAATCAGTTCCTAAACCTACTGGTCCCAAGCCAGTAATATCAGATGGGGGCAAGTAAAATTGAAAATCAGAAAAGTCAAAGGAGCCTATACATATACTCAGAGACTTTAAAAACACCTATATGAAAATGTCTTGTGAAACAAATTCACAATTTTGATTTTCTAATATTTTGCCTATGTATTTTGTTTTAATCATTGTGGCATGTATCCATATCATTGATAAACAGTGTTTTAAACACTAATAGAGTTGACATCTTGGAATTCCCAGCTTGATCTGCCGACCTTAATCCCATCGAACATGTGTGTGACAAGCTGGGAAGACGTTAAAAAGACGTCGACGCCAACCCGCAAGCATGCCAGAATTAGCAAAAGATCTACAGGAAGAGTGGTATAACATTCCTATGAGATGAATTCGAGCTGTATGTCAATCCATGATGTCCCGCTTGAGAGCATGTGAAGTTGCAAATGGTGGTCATACACGTTACTAATCAAAACGGCAAAAAATGTTGACAGTGTAATTTTAATTGTTTCCCTTGAAAAAACTTGGTTAACAAATTCGTTGATTGTACTGGAAATGAAGACATTCCTTGGAAAAATTATGATTTTTAATAAATTTCCTACAACATGTAACATAATGTACCAATGACAATAAAAACAATTTCAATAGGCGTTTTTAAAGTCCCTGAGTATATTTTTCTCCAAATAGCCTTCTTAAATTTGAGAAATACTTTTGATCATACCAGACCTATCAATCGTTTACGTTCTCATTACAAAGGCCCAAAAAAATCGCTACTGATAAATAATAAACATGATTTTAAAAAAATTGAATCTCACTCAAAAAATTATTGATAATAGGAACTTTTTTGGGATATTTGTCCATATAGAGAAAATATGGAAGCCTCCTAAATTCCCAAGGAGTTCAAGTTTGCACTGACTGGCAACTTCTGTCTCAGTGCCACAAAAATGTTTTGAGCTATGAATACTTGAAGGTGATTAAAATGCACAGAGAAAAAAGCCACCACACTAAACAAGCAACTGGGTGTTGATGGGACAGCTTACCCTTTTGACTTGAGTTGTGTGGGTTTTAGGTATTCATGTTGTGACAACAGTAACACATCGGGCCTCATTTCTTTTTTGTACTGTAAGCACTGACGAATGAAATTCTGAAATCCAAAAAAAAACCCATTTTAACAAACAAAACTGTATAATCAACAATTAAAGTAGGAATGACACCTTCAAGTAATGTGCATGTCTTCAATGTTTACATTAATATATGCTCTGTTTTCATATCATGCATTTCAATGTAATTTTTTACTATAATCCGATCAGTGGTCATCCAATTCTTACCTTGGCCTCACTGTTCACTGGTGGCTTGGATGGGAACTCCACCTCTGTAGCCTTTAATATTGTGTTTTCTTCTAAAATGGCAGCTTGAGATAAATTGTGTCCAAAGGGCTACAAATACCATGCAAAGTTTTTATTGTGAAATCAAATTCTTTTTCTAGGAGAAAGATCAAATATATAAGATTATTTACTTCTATGCATTTTCTATTGTGAATAGTCACTGTTTCATGGATTTCATAACTTAGTGAAGCTTCCATTAATTTTGTTGAAAACATAAAGGCCTTATTCACAGAGTGCCAATCTCAGGAGAAATCTATCCAATAAGAATCTAGCTAAAACATCTTAAGTCCTCTGTGTACCTTTATTCAATACTTACAGGTGTGTAACCACTATAGGCACTGTACCTTTTTGCCATAAAGACACTGGTAAAATATCACCCCCACCGACCACACGTCCACCTTGGAAGAAATTTTCGGGGGATTCTTCCCTACCACAAAGCACTCTGGTGGTAAATACCTGCAATGTCAAGGTTTGGAAAATGATCATAAACTCTTATTCTTATTCAATTGAATTCTTACACTTTTTCATACCATAAATCAACTAATTATTCACGTTATCTTTTATTCGCGATTTGTCAGTTTGAAATCAACTGGCGACAATTAATTTTTCAACCGAGAAAACATTCTCTACGAATACTTATCAAAATTATTTAATTCGCAGCGATTAATATTCGCGAATAAAAGTAGGTCGTGGAACTCCTGAATATTTCTCGCACCCGAATAAAAGTTGGTTTACAGTATTTAATGCATAAGGATTACGAAACAAATTTTTTCAGACTTATTGAAGACATTGTGTGAATGAGTACACCCTGAGGTGACGAGTACTTACCAGTATGTTCCCGCTCCTTGAGAAGTGAGATCCATGCCATCAGGAGTGATATTTTCCTCATCCATGATTTTACTGAGGCCAAAATCAGTAATCTTGATTTCTCCACTGACTGACCCACTGCCCAGTAAAATATTTCCTGAAATTAAAATCAGACATATCATGTAAAACGTAGTCCTCCCTATCAACAATAAACTTGCAATACATTTCTGATGGAACTTAAAGACTCTTTCCTCATCTCAACTATTAACTGAAGCAACAACTGCCAGGAAAATATGATCTCATATCTTCTTTTTATTTTACAAGCAAAACTCATGAGGGGTAGACAAATAGAATTTTTCAGTACTTGCCCTCGGACAGGTTACCATCGTAAAACTACTTGTCCTACCAAAAAATATGGTTGTCCCACCTTTTTCTTAAATTACACAGAAATGAATCATTGATATTAAATTCTTGAGTGAGACACCTAAATACTACATGAAGACCATCCTAGATCTAAAATCATGCAATTCTTTCCCAGATAAATTTAGAGGAAAATATTTAATTTTAAGGAGTATTCATTCCCAAAATTCTGCGATAAGATACACCTTTGTTAAAATTAATGTTGTATTTAGGCCATACCAATTTCTAATATAGTTCGTCGGATTCGCCGCTTCTATTTATTACAAATGCAAATTATAATATTAAAAAAAAAATGTCTGCGCGCGCTTCCAAAAAAATCCGACTGCAATTTTTTTTCTCGACTTTTTGCAACAAACACACATGTATGACAGATGCGCGGGATTTATAGTGAGATTGAAGCAGTTTGTGAAGTTTTGCACCATGTCTGTAACTGTTCATAGGTACCAGGGGTGTGCAATTAGCATCCCCTGACGCCCGGGGCTAACATTTTTGGAGGTCGGGATAGTGGTTTTCTACAAGGAGGTAGCCCGTCGGGCTTTGTATAACTACACACGCAATACATGAAAAGCACAACCAGTATTTTAACTCGTTTTTGGCTATAAAATTCCCAACCAGTTTATATTTTCCAGACAACATACTCGAAGTCAATACTGTCAATAAATCTCCATAATCTTATCCGTTTGCAGAACTACCTGACTTATTTACTTCCAAAAGCGATCGTTTTTTCCTAGAATTTCCTCTATTCCTCCGTTTATGGTAAATACATGCAGCTATATCTTTAAATTATTTACGACCACTCAATCAACTGAAAGATAAGTGTTTTGTGACTCACATAAAATATATTTCTTTTCTGAATGATTTAAGATGAAAACAAAATGAATTTAATTTCATTCTAAATGAGCTAGTGCAATGATCAGAGAAAAGGAAGATAATTTATTGAAGTTCCTTTTAATTTTATTTCATAAAAATTTAAACATGACTGAATTTGATATTGAGAATTTAAACTTTGACTTTAAAAAGAATGACCTCAGTACCCTGACTTTTATCAGCAATTAATTTCTTTCTAGTACTTGATATTTTTAATTGCACAACACTGTGTACTATAGTTAAAAACAATGGGTACAAAGTTGTTTCATACACAGCAAAAGAATTGGAAGCAGAGGAGATGTTTGAAAACATTACATTTATGAAAGTAAAGTCTTTGAAATTTGACACATTTTTACTTATTAAAAAAAATCTCCAAATTAAAAGTTAAGAATGATAAGTTCATGTGGTATGCAAATGATATCTATCTTAATTTTTTAGGTTCAAGCTCTTTGAAATCACACTTAATTAAAATATATAAAATATTAATTATATTCGCTCGCCTCATAATTTTGAAACCCAAAATAAAAAATAATATTTATAAAAAAATTTCGCTCGCTCGCCTCACTTTTTATTTTTGAAAATTGAACTATTTTACAAATTGGTATGGCCTTATTTAATTAATATTTACAAAGTGATGATATCGGACAGTGATCAATCTCATAAAACCTACAAACAACACGAATTTGTAAACACTACTGCATGTCGATTAAGAGATAGCTATTTGTCTAGCCCTGACTCATTAAGCAAGATTAGATGCAAAATATTAAATCACTCAGCATCAGTCATACCACAGTTAGACAAAAAGATTTATCTGACACTTTTTTTTGGGGGGGGGGGACTCATTATTAAAGTAATGTCATTTTACTGTGTGTAGACACTCTTTTTTTCAATCACATAATATTTACCTGGTTTGAGGTCATAATGAATCACAGGTGGCTTGATTTCATTGAGATATTTGAGGGCGCTGACCGTCTGGGAGATGATCGAGCGAGCTTCCTTTTCTGGAATGGATTTGTTCTGCTTCAGGTAGAAGTCAAGGTCATTCCCTTCACAATACTCTAACACTGTGCAGAATCTATAAGGAAAAACAAGACATTAATCTACATCTAAATTTTACACATAGGTCAAGGAAGATTTGATGCAGTCACCTGAAAGGGTTATCAGTATGTTTATCCATTTATTCACACAACAGCATAATTCATATTTTTGCTTATCTTTTTTTTTCATTAACATAAATGGTAAAGGACCAAAGAAGTCAAAATATGAATCCAACTTTAATGCATGAAATTAGCAAACATTACTACATTTGTTTTTCATGTTGAAAATTTGGATTTATTTCTTTAACTAGGTGAGAAATTATTTTACATTTTGTTTTGAAGCACCATATCACAAACAATTGTAAAATACATATAATATCATAAAATTGGTTCCTTTTAGCTGTCAATCCCATTTACAAGTAAAACTTACGAATTGTTGTCGATTTCAAACACATCGTACAGTCGAACTATTCTGGGATGATCCAGAGTTTTGTGAATATTGTATTCCCTTAGGGCATGTCTACAAAACACAACAGATCAATATTCAAGACAATTACTGAAGAACACACTTATGTTCATGTACATCTAGAAATATTCTGCAAATAACCCCTAAAAAGCCTTTAATAAATAAATGTTTTATCAGAAAGTCCTGACATTCTAAATATCAAATGCAGATTATTGTGCATGAAATCATATCTTTAAAACCTTTACTTTATTCAAGTTCATATTACATCAAATTCACTTTACACTAGGCATAAAATAGCAATAATCTGATGATTTCGATTTTTTTTAAACTGAAAAACCATTGGTACATTCCATACTGAATACTCACTTAATATAATTGGCTTTTTTATCGTCCTTCCATTCTCGATTTAACTGATGAATCTTACAGGCCACATATCTTTGATCCTTTAGATCAAATCCCTGCAAAATAATGGAGTTAAATGATCTGAAATCTACCAAAACATAAACAAATAATGACATCTACTGTATACAGGGTAATTTTCACCCCTTGTTATTTTTGCCCTCTCACATATGCAAACATTTTGCCTTGTTTCAAATTCAACCAGTCATAGTTTTGTTTAAGAAATTATACTTTATTGTTTGAATTAGCCCTACTAAGGGCATACAGTATATCCCTAATGAATTTTTGATTTCATATTCCCTTTTGATACTTATTAATTTGAGAAAGTCGAATGAAATTCAAAGCAGAGTTATTAATATACTTACTTTGTGGACTTCACTGAATCCTCCTTTACCCAGTAAATTTAACAATAAATATCGTTCATTGAGAGTCGGATGGTCCTTAAACCTGAAATACAAAACATCAAGAGAGTGCGGTTGTTCACATTCTTTCAAATTGATACTGTTGAACATTTTGTGGTTTGTCAAAGTCAATATTCAGTGTAAGAAGATGCACAAATTAATATATAATGGAGCACATTTACTTTTAAAATTTCTATATGAAATTTTCAAATTTATTGCATCGAAAAAATTTTTTGCTTGATAATCAAAACAAAAACTCTCACTTTTTCCTAACCAACAGAACAACATACAAATAATGGGATTCAAACAATGGAATCCTAAACATATGCTACACAGTTTTTACATTCCTTGGATTTTTGCATTAAAATTGCACAATAAAATATTTTCTGATGGGTAACTAGTTTTCAATCAAAGTGATCAATTTAATGGTAAAGTTTAACAGTACAAGTACACATGACAATTCCAATTGCCAAAAAAAACCTATTTAGAGTTGTCCTCATTTTGTCTATGTTAGATTTAACAATGAGAAAATCAACACAACACACCTGGAGTTGTCCTCGTTATGCTACTATGACAACAAATACGCACCTGGAGTTATCCTCGTTATGGATCCGTTTGAGCTCTCGTATGTGAAGGTTCCTCTCCCGTTCTAATTTCTCCAACTCCAGCTGAATATCAGCATCCTCCTTCTTAAGACTAGCCTGGCGTAACTTGAGGATTTCGTCTTGTTCGTAAAACTCTGCTAATGTCAGACTGAAAATAACAAACAAACCGTGCATAGGACATTTTTCCTTGATTTTGTTGATTAGGCATTTTAAGTATTAGAACATTTCAATGAGATAAAAACACAGCCTTTGAAGAAAAGCAAATTTGTTCTGAGAAATGGAGTTACGGCCAATTGAGCTCTATGGCCTAGCTGAGGAAAGCATCTTTGCTCTGACAATGTTATGTTTGTTATGAACTTTACAAAATAATCTAACTAATCGCTCATCATAGATTTTCCACCAATTATCATGAATTTACATTTCCATACGTAGAAAAGTTTCGAAAACATTCTTTTTTCCATGAGATCGAAATTTTGGCTAACACAATTTTTTATTCAATTACATTTGTCTCCTTGGATATCATCTAGCAAACTTACGGTTTCTCTCCACCTGGTTTCAGAAAGTTGTCATTTTTGGAATTCTTTGTGACTGCAGTGTTAGGTTTTTTCTTGACTAGAAGTTTACGTTGTTTCTCTATGTCTTCTCTCTCCTGGGCTATTCTCTCTTGTTGCCTGTAAAATGAAGTGAAAGTAAATGGGAAGTGAAAGTAGGCTCTATATTCTACATACTCTGTCACAAAGAAATGATTTTACACTGCTTTTTCCCCCATCGACAAAAGATCTTTCAAACTTTTAATTCAGATTGTTTTACATCTTCTGTATCAGTTAAGATTTACATGCTTTAGCAACACAACTTAAAAGTATAAATACTTCATAAAGTTTTGTAAAAATATAAATACTTCTTAAAGTTTTATAAGAGTATAAATACTTCAGAAAGGTTTGAAAGAATATAAATACTTCATAAGGTCCGTAAATGCCCATCCATCCACCCAGTTCTCGACAAATGTGGCCCCCTGTCGTTGGGTCACGAACTGTCCCAGCCGTAACCGATTCCCCATCGACTTCTGTCGCGTCGTCTTCTTCTCCAACTTGCTCTATAACGATCAGAATTAAATTAGAACAATCAAGTTCACTGGGCAGAATATTTATGTTGATTAAATATTTAAGAATATTCTTTGCCCATAATCAAATTTTTATCAGGAGTATTTTGATAGACTTTCTTAAAATTTCAAAAATTTTAATTAACCCAAACAAGAGGTTACAAAAAAAATCGACATATTCTATATAATCTCTTAAAAAGTTCCAAAATGTATGAAAAAAAAACCTAAAACATATGACTCTGATAAATTTAAATAAGAATATTTTTTCAATACTTAAATGAAAGTGAAGATTTTAATCAAGCCCCCCCCCCCTCTTTTTTTTTTAAAAAGCAGAATAATCAATATAATTCTACATGGTTCATAAAGGTTTAATCAAACCACCACTTGAGCACTTGCCCACAATGTAGATTAAATTTCTCTTTCCAGCAACAGATATGCATTCTATTCCACAAAAATCAATGCAGCTGATGTGTTATCTTAAAGGCCATACCTCAACTAATAACTTCTTCACGACAGATTGATAAATGAAGTCTTTACCAAAAGAATCCTTCAAATATGTGACACTGGATATTACATACAACATTCTTAACTGTACTAGGCTTCTATATTTTACATGAAGCACAGACTTGTAGTTGCTGAATCAAATACAGATATGAATTAAATTTTTAATTATTTTTTTTTGTAAACATTATCTGAAGAGGTTTGAACACCATTAATTTTAGACCATCTATGAAAAAAAGACAGGTTTAGCAAACCAATGCTTCTTTTTTTCCAAGAGACATGTTTAAAGCCTGGGCCCTTCCTCTTTTTATTAGTATAAACTTCTTGACTTTTTAGACATTTCTGGGCAGCATCTTTTTTTCTATATGAGATACATATTAAAATAACACTTCTCTGCCTAAGTTTCTATAAGTAAAGAAATGGTCATGTTGACTTGGAGACGTTTCTGGGCAGTATCTTTTCTCTGTGAGACAGATATAAAGTTCCCCCTACCTTTTCTATGAGTAGAGATTTGTTGACTTGCAGACATTTCTGGGCGGTATCTTTGTTTTTCTCTATAAGTTTCTGTTGAGCAGTTAACTGGGACTGCTGAGTGGTCACTTGTCTCCGAAGTTCTTCGTTTTGCTGTGAATAAAAAAACATAACTTTCTTTGTTGGATACAGTCCTTCAAAAACAGTATAATAAAAAATTATAGAACAATCTTTTTCATACTCTGATAATTATAAGCATAATCATAGATTAGCACATTTGGATAAAAATTTTTAAATGTACTGTAGAACACTAAATTTTCATGACACTTTATTTCAACACAATTGTTATTTGGTTTTATATTTACCAGTTTTGGTTATTGCTATATTATTTAATAATATGATATACAAGACTGATATTTTCTTGAACAGATAGTCTTTTTTATCACTCATTCCCTGACCTCCTTACCCGTATTAAATCTTCCATGCGATTGTCTTTTTGGTCTACACTGTTGACGTGCTCGACGTCGGTCTGCACGGCCTTGTGGTACTGGTACAGTGACCGCTGAGGGGGGTAACCCATACTGTCCGAGTTACTGAGACTACCAGGGGAGGGAACTGTGTAGCCCTGAATAATACAAAAATCACGATGAAAATATAGCATTCAAATGCTGTCAGAGGTACTGAAGAGGGAATGTATAATTCTGTCAAATGTAAAAATCCTGATGTAAATATAGTTTTCAAAGACCGTATCCTGGGCATCCTCTCTATTTGTATGCAGAATAAGGGGGGGGGTGTTATATGTTAACATGGTTTATTAAGAATAGAGGATGAATTTCTCCATTGTGATGGCATAAAACCTAATTTGACAACAAAACAATAGTGCTAGCTGTTTCCTTTAAACACTGATTGATATAATTTGGAGGCTATCAGTACATAAATAATGTAAAAATAAGATGTGAGGAATTTTTGAAAATTCTGAAGTACATGAACTACAGCTAATGAAGCACTAGTACACTTCATGAAATATGCCATCATGAAACATATAAAATTCAAATCAGTAAGTTTATTTGGAACATATAGTGATTACATACATGGAATGCTCTAGTCTGGGGGTGGGTGGGGTTTAGTACTTACATATGGAATGCCCTGGGGGGACGGTGATTTGGTTCCTAAGTGTGTATTCATTGACCCTCTACTGGGGGACTGGTTTTGCTATGTAAAAGAATAGTACATAGTATCAATCTCCATATTTAAATTTGAAATGTACAGTATTTCCTAAGTTCTGCTTATTCCATCTATATTACATGGATAAGAACAAAAAGTCTACATGGCAATAAAATTGGGATGGAAATAATACACCAAAAAATAAAATTTCAATGCCATATCAAGCCATACAGCCTGAGAGACTCAGTAAAATTTAACAGGTTCATGAGATGCTGTCCTTTTTCTCTTTTTTATTACTCCTTAGCATTATATCAACATCTCATTGTAGTAATTTTGATATGCAGCTGTACTTTTTGTCCAGAATAGAAATCAATATTGGCTCTCGATCCTCCTACTGCTCCTTATCACCCATTGGGTCGGAGTACTTAATCTTCCCTTTATTCCAGGCTTCATAACAAGCTGCAGGAAAAATAGGAGTAAATATTATACTTACCTTAAAGTAATCATTGATTTTCTTTCCATTAGCTTCAGGCCTAGTGGACTTTGGAGTTGCTGAAAAAGTTTTAAGAAAAATGATATTATCAGAATTCATACAGCTTTCAACATGTTTTAATTAAAAGATTTTTTTTATTATTGCTTTCTCCCAGGAATCAGTCATTTTTTCCCTTTCAGAAGAATCTGAATATTTCTGTACATTTATTTCTCTGACTTCATCAGTGTTTACTAAGATTTAATTGATTAAATTGTAAAAGTGAATCACACTTATATCAATTTAAAAACAAAAGGTAAATCACATCATTTCTTATTTTGAAAAAATAAAAAACAAAACAAACACCCAGTTTATATATGGTGGATAAAATATACAATGATGAAAGCTATCACCTCCCCCACCCCCCTCCCTTCAACATTTTGTAATATGATCAACCTTTCAATTCGTGATGTCAACTCTTGGATATATAACCGATGTGTATATATATTTACAGTATTTCTATACATTATTTCAGTATTTTATCATATAATGCCTAGAGAGGCCTACATATATCATATCCAAGAATTGAAAGACAGCCTATATGTATACAAAAACTATACAAATGTGTTGAAATATGTCACGGATAAACAACTGTTTTCCTTCAGAATATGTACATCTCTGATGATGATAGGACAACATGTAACAGCATGAGGTATTGATCTTTCCTTCTCCATAATAAATTCAATGTAAAAAAAGAATAACTTCCTAACCAGATAAGCTGTGGAGATGACAGTTACGCTTTTGTTTATAATTGAGCACCTGCTTTTTTATATTTCTGCAGAAGAGGCAAGTTCCATAATTTATTTTCCAAAGGACCTTAGATGCATTGTCTCATACATTTGCTGACATTCTTACAGAAAGATGTTTTATAATGTTTTAAAATGACCATTCATTCAAATTAATGATTGATGAACAAACAAAAAAACATTTCAAGCGACATAAAACTACTAGGGATTCTTTTGAATAGGTTTATAATTTATAAACGTCCGAGTATCGAATACTAAAATCGGTACGGATGTATATTTTTAAATATTTCTAAGCTTATTTATTTATGCATTAATGCGTCGCTTTTAAAACGTAAAATGTTCATTGCGCTTGTACATACAGTAAGTAGGGTTTCATACATTCTAAATGACCGTTATCATGGTTATCGCCTGTGGCAGTGTTTATATATTATCGTGACCAAACACCTGATGTACCTACCTGGCTTTTCTCACCTTCGACATGTCTTCTACCCTTATGTTTAGTTTGCTTTAATTGTTTGTTTTCATTGAATATATTTAAAGTCCATTATATATATAAATTTAATGATTTTGTCATTTCTCCAAGAAGCCGTAAATTTCAAAGTACATTGCATGTGCGATTGTTGATATAATGCGTTTGATTACCTGCCAATTAATGCAAATGCTTGAAGGCAAATACTTTAAAAATATTATGTCCATCGTTGCTCCACCACAACATACCGTATCGTAATTCTATGAAATCTAGGATCAAAAAGTGTACGAAGATCGTATAAATCCGCTTTGTTATAGGATAACTTGATCAAGTTTATACCGTACATGTAGCTCTGACAACTTATCACTTGGATGTCAAACGCACCAATTTGTAAAGAGTTACATTACAATTACGGAACAGATTATTTTTAAAACAAAAACATTGTGAACCATTTATGATTTTATTTCTCGTATTTATCTGATAAATATTTGAACTTAAAAAAAAAAATGTTAGATTAAATTTCGTCGGGTACAAAGTGGTCATAATTGTTACAACGCATTTGCAGGTAACCTCCCATCGGTTTTATTTCTACAAGAGTTTACAATGTTTTACAGTTATCAATTAACTTGTTCATATCTATTTACACTTTTACCGAGTACCCGGGTACTCGAAAAAAAAACATATTAAAAATTGACCGATTTGACATCCCTAAAAACTACTAAAAGCAATTCTACTCACATTAAAGTGGGTGGAATTGGGGGTATATGTATCTCTAGTGTATGTCCAAACTACATCGTGTTCCATGCTATTCCTTATTCTTATTTTCTGACTTGACACCCCCTCCCTGCCCTACTTCCAAGTTTGATATTTCTATGTATCAATGATGCACATACACTTAATCACTGATATATTTCAAAAGTCCCTGACCCTATGATTTTGCTATGTGATGATTTGTCAGCGTGTGTGTTCACTGGGTTGCAAGAGGTACGAACAACATAATACTAATTGTGTCTTGATTCTGGAAGATTTTGCAAGGTTTTTCAAGATTTTATCTCCATAGTTAAAAATAATGCAAGCAAAAATATCCATCAACAACAAATTCTGCAATCTTGATTCACTAGGTGACCTAACATGACAATACTGGCCTGGCCCTGATTGTTTTTTAATGTTTTTGGTGGTTTGAGAGCACCTGCCCCCTTGCTCTATATATACTTACTACTCTCTGTGCTATCACTTGCAGTTGCTTTTCTCTTTCGTTTTCTCTCTGATGGAGTTCTAGGTTGCTTCTCTGGCGTTAACACCAAGTGTGCCTAATTAACAAAAGTATTTTATAATTACACAGCATGCTTAAAATTCTTTAAAACTGCACTTCATCACATTATCTAAATTTAGACAGAATCAACTGGTTGTAAAATCTGCCAATTCCAATATCATAAAACAATATTTTTTCCAAGCATTTGATTTCCTTTATTATATTTTTAAACAACAGCATTGTAAGTTCCTTTGTGAGTGAAAAGATTAAGTCAGCTATTTTTTAAATGAAGTATTAGATAACTTGTATATATATATCAGTATGCTAGACACCTTAATGGTTTAACAAGGGTGTGTTTCTGCTCTTAGAAATCGGCTTTAATTTGATTTTTATTAACCATGACCAGTTTACAGAATTAAATTGGTTCTCTTACCTCATCCTCCCCAGCGTTTGACCCCACACTCAGGTTACTGTTATCTTGGGGGTTGGAGGAAACATTCAATGGCTGAAACTGAAAAAAAAAAAACAAAATCATTTATAATCTATTTACACTTTTAACAATCTTAAAAAAAACCATACAATTTATGTTTGCAAGTTTTCAATATTTCATGTGTATGAATTGTGATTACAGTGAAAAAGGCATATTTAATTCTTTTTTTTTTCCATGAACATGATGAATGTGAAATGAATTATTGAACTTCCTGTTTTCTTTGGTTTGGTTACAGACTACTTCAGATCTGATGATAATGTAAACTCTGTACTACATGCCTAAGCAATGATGTAAAAATTGGGTAGTACAGAAAATTTTATGTGCATCCCCCTCAACCACACAATTACAAAACTACAATGTTCTGTTTTACACTACCTACAGTAAAGTCAATTAAAGAAAATATCTCACCAATAATCTTACTTCAATTTTCTATTTATTATTATGGCCTAAATAAACCTGTTATTTAATTCCTTCAGTACATACTATAAATGAGTCATATATAATGTTCCTACAACATGAACAAGTGTTTAAAAAATCTAAAAGTACTGTTAAACCAACTTATTTAAAAAAAAGTTATAATGGGATGGGTGATATGGAAATTGGGTGGTACCTGTTTGAAAACTAGTTTGTTCTGGAAATGCTTTCTATAATTAGGTCATCTGTCAGCTGATTTACCTTTTACCTGACAATCCATGTTTACATGTATGTAGCATTATTCTGTGATGAACAATAGAGAACATACTGAACCCTGTGTGTGCCACACATATTTAGACAGATGTCTGTAGTCATAATGCTTTATTGCAGCAGTTTATAGGAGCTTAGGTCAGAATAGTGTAGGGCAGAGAGAGAGAGAGAGAGAGGGACAGGGGGAGAAATACAGAGAGAGAGGGATGCAGGGGGAAAGAGAGAAAGAGAGGGGGCACGGGTAGAAAGACAGAGAGAGAGGGGGGAGGGCAGGGGAAGAAGGGCAAAGGGGGAGGGGAGACAGAGAGAGAGGGCAGGGAGAGAAAGACAGACAGAGAGAGGGGGCAGGAAGAGAGAGAGATGTATACAGAGAGATAGATGGGGGAGGGGAAAGAAAATTGGAGATATATACAGAGAAAAGAGAAAAAAAAGACAGAGAGGGAAAGAGAGATTGAGACAGAGGGGATGGAGAAAGATGATATACAGAGAGAGAGAGAGAGAGAGAGAGAGAGAGATTCTGTTTACTAAAGCTGTTAATACCAAAATCAATAATCAACACTTCTATGTGCACTGTCACCAATGAGCATCCTGAGGAAAGACCAAGTTTGTAATCCTACGCAATTAAATCTGTCATCAGGCCAGAGCAGAAACCAATAGGACACGACCGGCAAAAAAAACAAACAGGGGCCCCCTAATACACCAAATTACAGATCACGACAAATTCTATACAATCTTCACAGGCGAATTTCAATATACAGTGATGTGCCATAAGTGTTCGTCCAAATTTAAAATGGCCGCCTTAGTAACGAACGCTTTGGAAAAATAAAACACAGAAATAAAATTATGAAATATATTTTCTTACCTTAATACTTAGTTATATAGCCTTTTGACCTCAGAACTTTCTGTATTCGTCTTAGAGTCGACCTGGATAAGCCCTGAAAATAATAAATTGGGATGTTTATCCAGATACGTCGAATTGCTGCCTCCAGCTGATTTTTACACAAGAATATTTCGTTGCCGTCTTTCATTTCTCTATAACCACACACAATAATGTTCAAATCAGGACTATCGGGCCAAACCATTGAATGAATATTATTCTGTAATTTATATTCTTGAACTACTCGGGCTCTGTGAATAGGGGCGTTGTCATCTTGAAATATATAGTTATTTCGAGGAAAATGGCGTGCTATGACTGGCCAAAGTTGATCTTCAATTATATCAATGTATTTTCTAGCATTAATGTTACCATCTACAACAGTCACAGTCCCTACACCGTTGAAAGTGATGCAGCCCCATATCATTAAACTAAACTTCGGTGTTGGAGGTTGCGAGAGACAACATGGCATCCACTCTTCGCCCACCTTTCTCCATATAAAAACACGGTTATCAGTCCCAACGTCCACTTTGCACTCATCACTAAAGATGACCCTGTTCCAATAATTATCTATAGTTTTGTATCTGTTTCCTCTACACAAGGAGAGCCGTACTTTTCTGTTCACTTCGCGAATTCTTATGCGCTTTCGAACAACTCTTCTAAAATACCCCTGTTTGTACAAATTTCGCTGAACTGTCCGTTTAGATATAGCAGAGTCTCTATTTTCATTGAATAAGGCTGTTATGTCTGATAATTTTCTCTTTCTGTTTTCTTTCACCAACCTTAAAATGCTGCGACTGTCTCTGTCACTTAGCTTTGCCTGCTTCCCTTTCCTCGGTATGTTTTCTACACTTCCTGCTTGCGATGGTCAACTACAGAAGTTATTGTAGCCGGGGAATTGTTCTCCTTGCTATTTCTGAATGTTTTAATCCAGACAGGTAAAGAGAAACATGACTTCTTTAACATCAATATAATTCTTTACGCACGGTAGCCATTTTGTTTACAGGGGAAATACACAGCAGACGAAAATAATTTTGCTACGTAATTGTGACACGTGACAGTCACGTGGATATGCTATAAATATATACTTATTTATTCAACATTGACGCCATGGTTAAAAGATACAGCGTCGACGAAGTTATGTGAAAATGTAAAGTGACGTAATGAAAATTGAATTTGGACGAACACTTATGGCACATCACTGTATCTCTAGATTACTCATGATCTAATTGCCAAAATAAACCATTGCTTCTTCAAATATTGTGCCCATTCATTTCGGTTTTAAAGATCAATACCTAGGGGAATGTTTAGTCTATATAATCACACACAGTAGTAGTTATCACAGTACACCTCGGCTAATCGGTGTGTAGCGGATGTATATTTATCTGCCAATAGCAGGTTCCTTAGTACAGAGTCATTACTTTTAAAGAGCTACTAAGTGCCAATTATAAACTCATGCATATTCCACATATTAAGCAAAATTCGTGTCATACATTTCCCTGAAAAATGAGATCTCAAATCAACTTGATCAATATTCTACAAATATCTGTTTTAACAATAGTTGCTTCCCCAATGACATGTTGGATGTCTATCAAAATGGCTACAGTATATGCAGCATTATGATTCACTTTCTCCCTGAATTATCAAGATTTGATGTAAATTATAGCTTGTTGAGGATAAATATCAATAGAGGTGGACATTTATTTTATTTTATTTCAATATATTGTGCTGAGGAGTAAATTACAAACTGAAAATGGATAATTGTATCATTTGATTCATTTCTACCCAGAACATGTACATGATGTACATAAGGAATTTACAGCCTGTACAGGCTTCTTATCTTTAAGTGGTACTAGCTTCCAGAATTCGAACATGTGCATGTTGATCATGTTGATGATAGTAAACAAAATCTATAGAGTATAATTATTCAATTAAGTCACAATAGTACTAGCAAGATGTATTTCTGAAGAGCAAGATTGCCTTGTTGAAGTTTTTTTTTTTAACATAAAAAAACTGTTTAACAAATTATTATACAAACTTCGACCTTGACCATGTTGACTCACTGCAAGTAGTGCACTGCAGATCAAAATCAACATTGCCAAGATGATGCAGTGTTTCATTCATATACCAGGTATTTCAAGTATTGTGATCAACTCATCAAAGTATGATGAACAAAACAACTGACCAACACAGCCAAAGCAATATGTCTCTTTCATTAAAAACATTAAGTCAGGAAAAATGGGGAAAGGGGGGGGGGGGGGGTTGTTACTTGGCCTCATTATAGGAAAGGTTAAATGGGTCAAAAAGTAGCTGTCAATGACATTTTTCAGAAGAGAAATGGTCCAACTCGTTCTCATTTATAAGATTGTGGTCATAATCAAAAGTTAATCCTATTGACACACTTGTGCTGCTGCTGGTTCTGGGTTGTATTGAGTAAGGAATTTTAAAGCTGTACTTAATTGAGATCCAAAGATGGATGACCAACATGAGAACAGTACTCTGGTCCCCTGTGGACAATCCTCACTTTCTGGGAGATCAGTGGCCATGCATGATGGCAGAAATATTAAACACAAAAATTTTTCTATCCATTTACTAGCTTTCAAACAATTACTTGCCCATATAAATAAAACAAGAGACCCATGGGCTGCAAATGTTCATATGTCAGAGTATCTTATGCACTGCTGTTTACAAGAAATTTGAAAGATTTTTATAAATTCCCATATTATTATGATTATGGTCCCATCCAAACTCAAAGGAATCTATGAATCTTAACACCATGGGATGCTTAAATATTAATTCGAGTTACACTGCTTGGCAGTTATGAAATAATGAAAAAGAAAAATCTTCAATTCTTGTTTACATGCATTTATAGATTTTTTAGTAGACATCCTGATGTTAAACTTTGATTGCCCATTATGGCCCCATCCTACCTCTAAGAAGTTATGATTTGAACAAACCTGAATGTACTCTACCTTAGGATGCTTCCATATGACATATCATAACATTGATGTTCTTAAACATAAATTCTTTTAAACATTTTTTTCATTATCATGTATATGTTAATCTTTAATTGTATATTGTAGCCCTACTCTACCTCTTGGGTCATGATTTGAATCAATTAAGGTTTACTTGAGTTTCTACTCTTTAAGCTCCGTGATTCTTAAAGACTTTTTATGAAAGATTCCACCAATTTTTCACTAAATCTTAATTATCTCCCCTTAAATGAGGGTGTGGTTCTTTATTTGAGAAAAAACTTGAATTCCCTTAATCCAAGGATGCTTTGTGGCAAATTTGGGTTTACAATTCCTCGGTGCTTGCATATCAATATAACTAATATCTTGCCGTTCTCAAGAAGATTTCTGATCCCCCATTGTGGCCTCACCCTACTCCTGGGGTCATGATTTGAATAAACTTAAATTCATACTACCTGAGGATGTTATCATATCAATATGACTTACGATAACTTTGCTGTACTTGAGAAGATTTTTTTACTTTATGTATATGCATCTATGCAACCCCAAATTGTAGCCCCATCCTAACCTTTAAGTGTAATGAAATATGCAACTACACTTTGCAAAGAAGGTTTCAAATGATATTTTTAGCCCAGTGGTTCTTCAGACTTAGAATTTCACAATTTTTTCCCCCTATTTCTGAATTATCTCCCCTTGAAAGAGGACTTGGCCCTTTATTTGGACAAATCTGAATCTGCTTCATCCAAGGGTGCTTTGTGACAAGTTAAGTTAAAACTGGCCCAGTGGTTCTGAAGAAGAAGTCGAAAATGTAAAAAGTTTACAGACGGATGGACCAAGTCTTCTACTATTTGTATTTGCGAAAGTTTTCAATTATTTTACCATCTTGGGTTTGCTTCTTTTACATGGTTGTCCTGCTGAAATATTATTCCTGTGAAATCCTGTCATTTAACAAACCCCTTACTTCAGAAATTCATCCACAACAACTATCACATTTTTCTTACAAGTGCTAAAACAAGCAGTGTCCCTGTTTTGTAAGAGAATATAATTGTAGATATAATTGATGCAATTTCATTTTCAAGTTATTATTCCTTGTTAGCATTTTTGAAGAAATTAATATATATTGCTTTAACATAATTGCTGTGTACTTTAATGGAGATTACTGATGATTGGATTATCTTTGGTTGTATGATTCTGGTGGATATTTAGCTGGCTAGATGATGTTTAAGCTCTTCTCCAAGCCTTAACATCAGTTTTTATATTGAAAAAAAGGTTTCCAAGGTTGTTCTCCAACTCTCGTTCCTTTATGATATTCAAAAAGAATTCGGTCTTTTGACAAATAACAAAATTAAGGAACCCAAGTTTACGACAATTTGTAACAAACTTTGTTCATGTCAAGGAACCTAATGTAGAATCATCATAATTTACAGGGGACCAATGTTCGTGGCCTTTGTGGGTCACCCTTATCCATGAATTTACATCCCTATGAACAGTTATTTTTCTCTATAGTTTTTCACTGAATCTTCTGAATATATGAGTTACCCAGGGAAATAACATCCCATTGAATCAACATTTTGCTCACCCACGATCATTGAACCTCACAAATTAAAACGCTTCCACAGTATTGAAAATGAAACTCTATTTTTTGCGATTGCATATGATTTTCCTTTAACTAGTTACGTGTTGTCCGTCAGTAAATTCTGATAGAAAACACACAACTTGTTAATGAAAAAAAAATCATCTTCAATCTCAAAAGATGAAGAATCTTATAAGTGTAAATGAAAATGACTTACTCTACTGCCAAGAAAGCGCGCTTCTAGTAACTCTTGTTTCCGAGGATCTAGGCTCTGTAGGTTGACATTGCTTTCCATAACGACTAAGCCTGCGAAAAAAAGAGGAGAAATCGGCATCAAAATGAGAAATACTGTACTAAAAACATATAATTGGCAATCAAGCTCATTATTAGCTTTTCCATGTCTGTTTTGAAGAAAGAATTTAAGTTAACATATATATTTTTCAGGTAATCTGACATACACAATGATTAATGTCTACGTTATTATTATATACTATTAACGTTTACAAATCAGGTGACAAAAACAGTTTATTTCCCATATTCTGAATCCCCAAATAAATTCTGCAAGTCATGAATCAAAATGACATTAATTATTTGCAATAAGAATCATTAAGCATTAATTGATAACACAACGCACTTGTCTTAATGTGCATGATATCACTATTACAAAGGTTTTTCTCTAACATGACATATGTATTTAACATTATATAATTATACAGCAGTATTTCCTTTATCATGGGATAAAATTGAATGTCCTATTGTAACCCTCAGTATAACCTATATCCTTAGTATTGTCAGAGCTTCAGCTATGAATATGCCTGTTTTTTTTCATATACATGGACAGGGCTTACTTCTGTTTGTATTTAAGATGATTTAGGAAAGAACTAAGTGTTCTAAAAGTTATACAGTAAACAGGGTGAAACCTCTATATCTCAAGCTCATTGGGACCAAGAAAAAAAACTTCACTATATCCAAGGACCTGAGGTTTAAACACATAAAGAAAAGTAGTTAGGACTTTGATACAGTATATATATTAGTACACAAAATGCACAGTGTTCATGCTAGGGTCACCAGCTTGGGTCAGAGGTTAGGGTATTTGCTCTAGAGTTGCAGAGTTGGTCTTTATGTTGCAGGTTTGAATCCCCCCCCCCCCCCCCCCCCCCCCCCGTGGGCATGGAGACTGGTTTGTTTGGATGAATCTGTATAAACCGAGGTCCCACATCACTTTTCACGCTATGGGTGCTGGTGCCAAAAAGATCCCTCACTGCTTAACGACTCCGAGTATCGAGTAGAGGTTTCACCAGGCCAGCAAAGAATGTGTCTCAAAATGAGTGAAAAATTCTCAAAAAGGATGTTAAAACAAAACACAATGTAAGACTTTTGATGAAGGCAGTGGTCAGTAAGTACTAGCATTTCCATGTCACTCAGACTGACCTCTGTTGAACTTGATTGAGGTATAAATTTGGGGTACCCCTCCCTAGACAATTCATACAATCATAATGAATAAAGATTTCATAAAGGTCAGTTGACTCAAAAGATATCATCATGATCATTAGGGAATCATCACCATGATATTAAGTGAATTATCTTGTGGGGATGCTGCAAATTTGATAAAGTTTAACAATAAAACTTAATGATGTTCTACTCTGAGGTGTTTTGGTGTGATAGAGGGAGTTGATCTGGAACTATTTATACAGTCATATGTGATGGAGATATGCATGGTCAATGTAGAAATAGCTAAATATCAAGTGACCTGAATGTGACGGTATCTTATTATCACCTAAATTCAGCATAACATGCATAATATCTTGATTCCGTAAACGTCATATGTCAATTTTTTTTATATCATGATTATCTTGCGATTATTCCTGGAAATTATTTGCCTACAATTTTAAAACAGATTGTTCCATCTTCCATAGCATCAATCGTTTAAAGGAGAAAATGAATCCCTAACCGGAATCTATATATATTGATAAATTAACCGCTGGACTATGTACATCGCTATACATACAAACTATACGTAAAGACGATCAGAATTCCTTCCAAACAGAAAAAAGACTCCAAGACTGGTGACTCAAACAATTGCAACACATGTTCAAAATAGCCATATACCTGTGCACCTATCTGAAACCAGTTCACACCTGATTTTCTTTTCTGCTTAGTAAACAAAAAAAAAAAAAAATAATCTGTACTACTCTTCTTTTTTAATTTGAAATAAACTAGAGGCAGTGTGAGAAAAGTTACAGGTGTCTTAATCATGTTAATGGGGAGGAAAATGACTCTCAGTAGAATTAAATTGGGGTATGTATCACATGGTGTCCATTGACTTGCCCAGCTACTCAAGAAATTTAAGATCAGTTTCAGAACTGATTATTTTTTGGACCAGTTAAGTTTAGAAAAGTTTAATATATAATCATGTTTGTCATGACAACCTGGGACTAAATTAAACACTATGTATGGAACCCACCCTAAAATGGTCATAAGTTCAATGGCTTCTCTGTTGAAATTATCTTTGGATAACAAACATTCTATATAATGTAATTATCTTTCAAAAAACATGGGTCTTGAAAAAAAGTGAAAAATAAAGGTGTAGGCTCCATTAAACATAAACTGGAGCCACAGAAATCGATCCTTGGATGTCCCAAGATGGCTGAGTGAATTTATCGCCCCATGCAATGCGACATGGCTCAGCCACAGTGTCAGCTCCAACAATACCAAGGACGAGCTTATAGGGAGGCCATTTTGGGATCAAACGTAGCACAATTAAAACGATGTTCCCTCAAAAGTACCATCACATGCATCCAAAATTAGGCCCTGGATGCATTGATAGACTATTAAAGTGTATGACTGTTGCATATCTGACCATATTTTCTCCCTACCGTCTGAAAAACACGATCTGCTTAGAGTGGTTACTCGCAGAGTTAAAAAGTCCAAGATGGCGGTCCTTAGCCAATATTGTTGAACATTCCCGGGCTGTAAGCTATTGTTTTGTCAACAGCTTCTCAATTTGACTGCCCAAATGCGTAGATTAATCCTTAGTCTATCATCGGGACATCTCTTGGTTGACCATCAAGGTCACAATTTTGTAAACGATCGTCTGAAAGTCAAGTCTCTCTCAGCAAATTCTCAACTTTGTTGATGATCTTTTCGTGACGTCAGACATTCGGGTTGAGAAAATTGAGATGGAAAAATAAATGATTTAAAACTTATTTACAGTTGATTTCTTACTTGATCGTGTGTAAACATCATCTGAATTAAGTGGATAACAGTGTTTCATGAGATTTTTGTACAAAAATATGCTCAGGTACACATTGGCTACATCGGGACTTATCGGAAAACGTCGGTGAATGAATGCTCTCACATCGATTCCCGCCTTATAGTCTATTTCAGGCACCATAAGATGATAGTGAGGCGGATCACAAGTAGGTACCTAAGAGGTGTCATAACTTAATTATTGTTATAGAAGCTTCGTTTATCTGCTTAAAATGTATTGAAATAAAATTCATGAAAATATCAATGGTCAAAATGTTGAGAAAAATGAATCGAAATTATGTTATTTATTTTCATTAAAAACCTTTTTAAAAATCAATTTTAAAAAAAGTAAATAAATAAATAAATAAAAAAGAAATAAATAAATGAATAAATGAATAAACATAAATCCAGTCAAAAATAAATGGAAACATAATTTAAACTTTTTTTAAACAAGTCAACAAAGATTGAACTAGGAAGTCGACCCCCTAAAGAGAATTTTCCTTGTTGAATTGATATGTGTACAGTCTAAAAGTGTATATATAGTGTTTCAGGAACTTTATGTAAATTGATTATTTTATTTAATACTATTTTAAAAAAAAACTTCCGACTACGTTTTGGAATTTTTAAAGAATCTACATGTAGAGGATTAACACAGATAAAATTGAAATAATATCACAGGTGCTTGAGGACAGGACCACCCCTCCCAATGTAGACCCCCGGGCATGTTAAACTTTTTTCACATAAATTATATATGGATGACACATTTGTGATATAATCTATCCTATCAATTCAGAAAATTTGCTTAAACTAACATTTTATAAAAATTTCTTCCCCACTCTCTATATATAAATAAACAAGGGTTGATTTTTATATATAGAATGTAGGGTAGATTTTATAGAACGTTTGTTTTAGGTATAATTTTTCGATTTGTTGGTATAGATCTTATCACAAATATGTCAGTGAAAGATTATTTATGAGAAAAAAAAAAAGGAGGTCTATATCGAAAGAGAAAAATATGAGTTGTACTCTGGAAAACGGGCACTTGTTTGTGTCGAGACTTTAGTTTGTAGCGTTTAAAAAAAGAGATAAAAGAGAAAAAAAAAAAAAAAAATAAATGAAAGTCCTATTTCATTAAGGGGTTAAGGGAGGATAACAAAGGTTTTAACAAAAGGTACATCTCACAAGCTAGGTTTCTGTTTTAAAAGATAAATATATTAGATTACAAAGGTTTAACTATGCTCCGAAAAGGGGGAGGGGGACAGTATTTCATTAAACATTAGGTTACAAATATGTTTGTTTAAAAAAACAGGACCCCTCCTCCTCTGTTACATATTGATATCAGGAAAAGAAATAAAAAGAAATTGAATTATCTTTTAAAACTATTAGTATTTGAATTCAATAGCACATTAATTAATGAGAGAGAGAGAGAGAGAGAGAGAGAGAGAGAGAGAGAGAGAGAGAGAGAGAGAGAGAGAGAGAGAGAGAAAAGAGTGTTTGAGAAGATAAGAATTCGGCGTAATTGATAATTTTACCACAATTTTTAGTAAATAGAATTAAGAGATACATGTTTACCTTTTGAAAACAGCTATCAGAGGGTAATAGATTTTTTCTAAAATAATTTTAAGAAAATTTCATTTAATTTCCATAAGGACGCCCGAACCTCTGAATGAAGTCAAACAAAAATGTTTCTTTGTAAGTATCACGTTTTATTAGTATTGATACCCCCTCCCCTTTCAATATGAAACCTTTTTTTATGATTTGAAGTTGCCTTTTATTTAGAGTGCAAGCAGTCTGCTTTTAAATACACCCGATTCTCTATTTTAAATAAAATTTCTTTATTATAATTCCACGCAGTGCCTTAGCACGCACTTTATCCCTAAGTGAGACTGGGGATGGGGGTGGAGGGAGCTCTGCTCTTTGACAAACAAAATGAAAAGAGAAAAAATCATTAGAATAAAATTTCATATGGAAATAAATAGAAAAAGAAAAAAAAACTCTTAAAAATCCTATTTCTTTAGGCCTCTTACTTAATTTTCCTTTTCTTTCAAATGCTGAAATGTTATATTTGACCCCACAGCAACAACGAATGATAAGGGCAAAAAAAAAAATCATTCTAAACCCACAACAGACCCACAATAGAAGAAAATTCTTTTCCAAAAAAAAAAAAAAAAAAAAAAAAGTGATTGGCCGGAGAGACCGACCATTCCTGGCCCCAGCGCACTCCGCACCTGGCGTGAAAAGTGCGTATCATCATATCTAGTTTTTACAGCATATATATGACACTGACCTTTTGACCATGTATGACGTTGAAGTCTGCGTATGAGACCAAAAAAGTACAACAGCACATTATGTTGTCTGCATATATTAAGGTATACACATACAAACACGGGGAAAGGTCACGACACACATCTTGCAGGTTTACTAGTAATTTGTTACGGGGGATAGTAAAAATGATTACAGTATACTTTTCCGAGTTTTTTTAAAATGTGGTTTTAATGTAATTATTTATAGTGCATGTATTCTACAGACACTCCACTTGTGGCATATCAGCCATGTAGTATTATCTGTGAAAGTGGAGGCATGGCGAGAGGGGAGGGGGGTACGTACATGTATCTGGGAAAAAAAGATTTCATGCATGAAAAACTCTTTCATCAACAAAATAGAAAAAATATCCATAAAGTGTCCAATCTCGAAAATCCTATTTCATGGAAGGGGTGAGGTGTCAATTTCCTTTCACAACCAAATTTTTATGAAATCATTAATTTATCAAGTCTTAATTACAAAAAAAGTGTAAGGGGGGAGGGGTTATACATTGTAACACCTATAATGCTTGGGAAAAAGTCGGAGGGGGTGCATTCCTTGCTCCATGGTACCACGTGTTTGTACATGCACACCTTACATTGTAAATTTATTTTTAAATGTCTTTCCTACATCAAACACGTTACAAACAGTTTTTTTTTCAATTTTCTGTTAATGACAACACTCGCTCTTCAAAAAAACAACCAAAAATCAAAATAACTTTATCTCACTCAAAGCCTATGCAAAAACGAGTATTCTCGTACGTATAGCGATAAGATGTAGCAAAATAATTATGGAAAAAAAGTTAAGAATTGTTTAATATTTTCCATTTATTTTTGTATGACCTTATTCATGATTGTAAACATGGTAAATATAACACACAAAAAGGTGACTTTGAACATGAAGCTTCTATTAACATATGTTGCAATAGCTAAATAAGGCCAACATATAATGTAGTACCATGACAGTAACTAGTATTTATCTTGTTCCTTACTTCACCTGTAGTCCATGTTAGCGGGAGAGATTATACACGTCATTTTAATCGACTTATTAAATTTAGTTACGAAGGAAAACATGTACCGGTACATATATTTACAAGTGTACAACAACACACACACACACACACCCTCACACACACACACACACACACCCACACACACACACACAGAGAGAGAGAGAGAGAGAGAGAGAGAGAGAGAGAGAGAGAGAGAGAGAGAGAGAGAGAGAGAGAGAGAGAGATTCACTTATCATGACTGATGAACTCGAATATTTTTCTTTTTTTTTTTTTTTGACAGAAAAATTCTATATTCATATTTCATTGCACATACATGAAATCTTATAAAAACAGTATTAATGGACTTCACTCCTCATAAATATATATGTATGCATAATTTTGTATGTATAACAGTGAATAAATCACATCTGTAGATATTTAAATTTGCTTACTACAGAAAGTAATCATTTTTACAGAGTCCACTCTTTGAATGGTTAAGATACTGTACATTCTGCCTCAAATCTGAATCTTAGTTACAGTTATCACAAAAATAAAAAAAATAAAAATAAATAAATTCTAGTCCTTCGCTTTCGGTGTCTTAGTGGATGGGTCTGGGATGCCATAATTTTTGGCATATTGTGTCAAATATGTACGCCCTATCATATATCATGCAAATGGAATCGATATCACCTTTAATTTTTTTTAAAGAATAGGAGAAAAATGAAGGTCAAAGTAAAAAAAAAATGATAGCATGCTCAAACACATATTGTTACAGGAGATGCAATTAAAATGTCAAATATGGAAGCCCGATCTCTTATAAGGAAAAATAACATTTTTAAAAGTAGGTCAAACATCAAGGTCAAGGTCATAGTGTCAAAAATCATTGTGTATTTAGAAAGGTCTTGTAACAAGTCATACCCATGTGCATGCAATATGAAACCCTATCTTGTCTCTTTCAAAAGTTATTACCAATTTAAAGTAATCTTTAAATTTCCAAAAAGTAGGTTTAACTTCAAGGTCCAAGTCACAGGGTAAAAAAGTCTTGTCACAGGTAATATACATGTAATTGTGAAATATAAAACTCCTACATCTTCTCATTCAAAATTTATGACTAAAGGTTACATTGTAAAGATTTTGTGACAGACGGACAGACAGACTGACGGACGAACAGACGAATGCAAAAGCGGTGGACAAAAAGTTTTTGTCGACCATGATAAAAATCTAATTTGGAGGGAGTGTGTAGCACAAGTGTACATTATCACATAGCCCTATAGAAAATTCAGGTCAAATATTTGTCAGATAGTTGCATAAGTGCTTTATATGTTTCTTATATAAATAATTTTTGTATTGAAAGCCATCAAAGGTAGACGTATACCTGTGTACATGCATTAATTGATCTACAAATAATTGCTCATCATTAAAAATATGTTCCTATATCATATCTAGAAATTCTTACCATAAAATTTCGATTGAAAAAAAGTTGAATATGGTTCTTTTTTTGCATACACATAGATAGCTAGACAAAAAAAAAAGGACAGACGAAAAGACCAAAAGCTATAGGCTCCGGATCTTCGAATATGAGGACATAAAAATTATGTTCGGTGGAACTAAGATTAAAAAAAATAACGGGAGGGGGGGGGGGTTGTAG